ACATTCAAGAGGGATATCATCACATTTACGTCTCACGCCAGCTTCAATCGGTACTACGCATCTCGTTTAAGTTGTGCCGGACAGTCGTCCGCATGTCTACCCAAGCGTATGATCGTCGGCAGCGTCAGAGGTGAATAAGAGACAGCCTCAATCCTCATCCCCCCCTCCCTCGCCGGCCTTCGGCCCACAATATCACGGATGACATCGAACCGACCTCCACTCTCCTTCGTAAAGGGGAACCATTTCGCCGCGTTGGAGAGAAGCTGGTTCCTCGTATCAAGCGAGGGTGTCGGGTTCCAGTCGCGCGGCTGCTTGGTGCCGCCGATGATTGTGCCGCCGCCCAGAGGCCGGGGGATGCAGAAGGACCAGGTGCCGTCTGAGTTCTGGCGGGTGAGGGTTACAGTGCAGGGGTTGCGGACGAGACAAGTTTGGCCTGTTGATTGTATAAGCAGCGATGGACCGAAAAAGATTCGAAAGAGTGGTGAGCCCCCGTACCTCGGATAATGAATGATTTGGGATCACCGAATCCCAGACCGGAGCAGTTGACGACCGTCTTGACGGAACCCGCCAGCTCGAACGCCTCGAGCGGATCCACGAGCGTGTACTCCCTCGTCTGGCCGCCGTTGAGGATGAACTTGCGGAGCAGATAGGCGCAGTAGACTGGTGAATTCACCACGTAGGTGCGATAGCGCACGCCCCATTTCACCTCGGCGGGTGTCTCGTCGTGCGCCAGGCGTCGGAAGCCGTCTAGGTGCGCGTACGAGTTCTGGATGTTGGCTTCGTTCAGGTACTCCGGTGGCGGGGACTCGAGGTGTTCCTCGCCGTCGATCAGTTGGACTCCTGCCGTGGGGTCTTCGGTGGCGAGTTGCGTGAAGTACTGATATGTGCGGCGTGCTTGGCTATCTTCTCTTGCGGCTTGCGGGGAGGACCCCGGGACTGGTCGGTAGTGCGCACCGGCCCAGGGCGAAGCATAATTGAGCGAGGTGGTGTTGGGGAAGTCTCTGGCGACGATGAGGATTTTTTGAGAGGGTTGGAGGTGTTGTTGGATGTGAAGGGCTGTTGAGAGGCCGATCACGCCCGCGCTGGAGGGTGAGTTAGTGGGGTGTTGCGTTTATGGTCTGCATATTCGGGTTATGTCCTTGAGGGCAAACCGACGTACCCAATGACTACTATGGTTTCGTCACTACTCATTTTGTCAGATACACGTAACTCGATCTGATGCAAGGTCCCTTGGTCCTCATGAGCACTTTGGATTGTGATCTAAGATCGTGAGATGGAGATAGATAAGCGGATCCCCGCTTATTGGGATCAGTATGAACTATTGCCGTTATCAAGAAACTGCCAAATACTGATTCTGATATCGTAGTTCGAGGTTACTCGATCCTGTAGTCCTATTTTTGCTCTTCAAATCCTCCAGATCTCTGTCACAATACTATAGAAGAGAAGCTGAGGCTAGACCACCGTTGCTTTTGTTGAACTGTCGGAGCTTTTGATATGACAGTCCAACTGTCCCTTTAACCCCGCCAAAATCTTATCGCTCGAGTGATTACTAGAAGCCATGGATCGGATCACAATCACATCCATCCGAGCAGAGGCTGGGATGCTTTATCACATACGGAGTGATCCTAGCTCGATATTAATTTTGAAGCTGCATATTTGGTTGTGAGCTCGTCGGGCATCTCCGCAGTAGTTATGAAGTACAGAGCTCTCGATCATCACATCACATTGCATCGTAGGAATTGGCCATTTTGGGTATATTCCTAGCACGAATATGTCAATTTCCAGATTCCCTGCGGATCGAAGAAATACCCAGCTTGTCTCATCTCCTTTCCTGTTGCATTGTGCCGCTTCGCTAGCAATGCTTTCTTGAGCGCACCATAGATATATACTTCGTCAATCTGCTCAATTGAACGACTCCCTGCGATGATACCGAGTTCTTTGCTTTCCTGGATCTTCTGCTTTGAGAACGGAGAGATGATCCCTCAGACCATCTGAAGCATCCAGTTATCTTGCCTGAATCTGCTCAAATACGCGCCCAGATGGTCACTTGAGGACGACGACAGGGCGGATGTGGACTGTGATTGGCTGAGCCGGGTGATGAGACCTGCAGTGTGAAGAAACGCCTTCTGCATTGCTGCCAGCCAATCAGCTTTCATCCTGGGGGTCCCTGGCAGCATCATCCTAGAGCCGTGCAGAAGAATTCCTGTTAACATCTGACAATTCGTCCTAACCCCGCCTTGAACAGCTGGACAGCTTGGTCTTGTTCGATCATTAGCTTAGCTTGCTTCTCCTGTAGGCGTGTTCTTGACCTCTCTCTCTCATTGGAAATTATCAACAATATCATCCCCTATTACCTCCTGAGCTTACCTCTAATCACTACAAAGAAGGCAATAATAGCAGACCAGGTTCGCACCGACTGGGATTATCCTGTCCCTGTACAACAATTGGCTATTGCCGTTTATTTTCCGTTTTAGCTCCAAACTTTGCCGTCTTCAAACCATCCTATGATCGTGCTACGCTGAGTTCTTTTCCCTGTCACCCGCTACTGCCAGGAGCTGCAACATCGTGCACATTTCCTCTGTCCCACCATGTCCGCTATGAGTTTGATCGACTTTTGCTAGCATCAGCATAAAATCCTTCCATGAGTCTAACGTGTTAGCGCTGATTCCTTTCCTAATCCCATTCGGCTGCCTGTCTGCCCGTCCGCCCTCTGCAGTCTCGTGTCCTGTGTCCTGTGTCCTGTGTCCTGTGTCCTGTGTCCTGTGTCCTGTGTCCTGTGTCCTGTGTCCTGTGTCCTGTGTCCTGTGTCCTGTGGCTGTACAGCTGTATGGCTGTCAGATATCTCGCTAGTGTGCTGTTCTGCTTTAGCGCTGGAGAGGTATCAAGTGCAGTCAAGATGTCACTGGATACTCTCTCTTTCCCTCATTTATGCTCGTCCGCTAATGAAGTCATGAATCACTCTCTTCTCCCCCCGATATAGACCAAGCGCCATCAACCTCCCTTGGCGCGAGCTGCCATTGCTTGGTGGCTGGTGAGTTTGATCTTCTACTAAGGTAACTTAGCGCCGCCTCACCAGACGTTGCGTATTTCCTCTCCATGGTCTAACAGATTATTGATGAGGGTCAAGTCGTAGGGAATGTCGAATCACACCCTTTCAGTCGTTGCTCAATCGCACCATCACAGAAAACAATCTCCATTGTAGACTCCTTTGATCCCCCTTTCCTTGGTTGTCTCGACTTTCAAAACCCCCCGGCTTCTCTTTTCTGTACTCCCCCCTCCATATCCTATGCGACTACCAACGTGGTAGCCCGCCTAGTGCATGCTATTCCTTGTCTGTCGCCTGCATCTGCGATACCTTGCGGTTACTGGCCTTGCATAATCGCACTTCTCGCCTATTTTCAGACTTGACATTATTATCTTCATTATAGCTTTTCCATTTTTTCTCTTTCCCTCTCACCCTACTGCTGTGCACGGTGGTCCGGACCGTCTCGTCGGTTCTCTTTCTGCTTCTTCCCCAGAAGCTAATCACTCTTGTCTCCATGTCCCGGAACCGAAGCTCTGTACTAATTCAGCGGACTGGATCTCGTCATCGAAGCTGCGATAACGCTGTGATTGCTGGATAGCACTCTGGTCGACCATAACCGAACCGTCGAAATTGTCTCTCTGCGAGCAACACCAAGCGGCGGGAATGCCGTTGAGGATTGTCTGTACTGTCGAACAACACCCATCCTGCCACTCAACTTGCGCCGACGCTTCTGAAATTCTGCGATAGAACATCGAACTCTCTGGATCCACCGAGCTCGATCTTGATAACGGCCTTTCGAATACGGGTGGACGGTGAGACAGAGAGGAACCAGACGGTGTCTCGATCAGCCCGCACACCGGCAACCCAACCGCAAAAAAAGAATGGTTGAGTTGGCATGGAGCAGTAATCCTCTTCCTGACACCAAAAGTACAACAATCAAGCCGATGGCGCCTCCAATTGCGCCCCCGACACCTCAATCACAGGCACCTGAAACCACCTTCGAGCCATGTGCGTCGACAGCCTCATTATTCCTCTATGCTCAAGGATCGGTGATCAATTGCCTCCATCATGACACCCTGGCACTCGAGAGACAATTCGACCATCACAAGGCGGATATCTCTTTCATATCGGTGGACAATGTCAGCGAACGAGGTTCGGGAAGACTAGTCGCCAGTTATGACGTGGGACAGACGACGATCGTGTGGGACCTGTTTACAGGGGCTGAGCTCGCTCGCTTTGCGGCGTTCGATCACCTACGAGTAGCTGCCTGGATGCGCAATGGCAATGTAGCGTTTGGTAAGGATGACCCTGCGCTCATGACAGACGAGTACCCAATCCTGATGACCTTGAAGGAAACGGAAAGGGCGATGTCATTCTTTTCGAACCTTCCACGTCGGAGCATGTCTCGACAAGAACCATCTTCGACCCCATCACAGCTTTGGCCCCGGCCTCTGACTGCCGAACATATGCCATCGGGTATGTAAATGATCTTCTATTGGAGACAGAGTGAAAAGGACGAGGGATTATCAAAGATGCACATCGTTATCGATTGAAGGTTTCAGCTGACACTTATATCAGTTACCAAAACGGTTCCATTCTGATCGCCACTCTTCATCCCACGTTTACCATCCTACATACCATGTCAACGTCACGAGGCCCATCACCCATAGTCTCGTTAGCATGGCATGCATCGTCATCAAAGCAAAAGTCTGATATGCTCGCTACTCTATCCTTCAATGGGGATCTGAGAGTTTGGAGTGTTGCGAAGCCTCCGGGCAAAGAGGCTCCCCGGGTCATCAGAGTTCTCAAGCGATCCGACTCTTCGTCAGCTGAGCCTAAGTGGATGGCTTGGTCAAAGAACGGCCGAATCGTGCAGTTCCTCGATGGGTAAGTGTATCCATCCTAGTTATAAGATTGACCTAACTCGCAACAACTTTCAGGGAGACTTGGGCGTGGGATGTCAGAACGAAACATGTCACTTATGAGCCGATTCCGACGGTAGAAAACCCTCGTGGTTTCGCTAACTACGGTCCGACGGCTACTCTTTTCACTCTTGGCCCTAACTACACAGTGCAGCAGTACGATTTGGATAATCCGGGAATGGTTGCTAATGTGCAGCACATCCCTCCTGGAGCCCTTGCTGCGGCTTCGGAAAAACCGAGGAGAGGATCCCTAGAAGCGCGATCCCTGCAGGATCCGCCGGATCTCAGAGAATCAGGGCGCATGTACGACGGCCGGCCCCCTTTTGACCAAAGCGGAGTAGACGCAGTACGGCAGCAGCGTGCAGAGATGGGAAGTCCAGTTTCGTCGCGGAGTCACGCCAACTCTGTCAGTTCAAAAGCATCCTCTGGGAAATATAGGATGGTGCCATTTTCTCCACCAAGTAGGTCGGCACAGACAGGTACATCGTTCTCAATAGCTTCAGCAAGTGGACGAGAGACCCCCCAGCAGTCCGGGGCCTCCTACACGTACGCCTCCTCGGTCTCGATGTCGTCGGTGAAAAGCTCGCGTGCAGGATCCCGACTGCGAAATGAGGTGCAATTTAGCCCAGCAGACCAGCGAATTGATCTGTTTCCATTCACACGCGCGCGCCTCAACGATGTACCGTATAGGAACCATCGCCCTCTAGACGAAACACATCTCACGCCAAACGACCTTCGGCGACAGATGCTGAGCGTCGTCTTTGGATGGGACGGAGATATTCAAGACCTAATTAGAGACGAGCGTGAGTGAGCACCTTCAAATCCCGGCTACCAACATCTCCATTGACCTTTTGAGCAGTACTTCGTCACCCGCCCGGCAGTCAAAGTGCCATTCTGTTGGCGCAGTGGCTCGGCCAGTCCGACTCTGACGCAACCGCGGCCATGATCAACGCTGGACCGGCTACATTGACCGACTGGATGCTCTTGGCCATGAGCCAGATGAATGGAGAGTCGCAAGCCAACAAGGTCGGTCAAGCCTTCGCACAAAAGCTGCTAGAGATCGGCGACATACATACGTCGGCTACTATTTTGCTTGGCCTGGGTGATAAAAACGAAGCTATCGAAGTCTATGTCTCTCAGAACTGCTACATGGAAGCTATCCTGATGACTTGTCTCCTGACGCCCACGGATTGGCAGCGCCAGTCATATCTGGTGCGTCGATGGGGTGAGCACGTTGTTTCCCATGCGCAACAGCAGCTGGCAATTCGATGCTTTATGTGTACCGGTGTAGAGCCTTCCGATCCCTGGACCTCTCCCGCCGCCCAGCAAGCTGCGTCTTTTTCTGAAATCCTTTCGGGAAGATCGCCCATGACATCTCCTGAGCCACAACCTTTGCAACAGTCGTCGAATTTTCTTCTTCCGACCCTGAATTCACAGCCGAAGATACCGCCTAGCACCAGACCAAACGCGAAAACACCAGCCCTCAAGCTGATCACGTCATTTGACTCTCAGCCCGGCAAGTTTCGATTCCCGGGTCTGAAATCAGACGATAGAACACCTACGAATGCCCCAGGAATTACACCTATCGCTGAATCAGCTGTAGGAGGGTCTGCTGTGTCCCCTGGAGGACTCGGATCTTACAGGGCGAACAATATTCAAAGTCTGAACAATGCGATGAATGCAAGGACAGGAACGCCTGCGTTCAACAGAAGACGCTTGCCCTCTATTGGAGAAACGCCTGTTGATGTCCATCCACCCACTTTCTCGTCAAGCGGCTTAAGTAACTCCGTGGAATATGCCTCGTCGGTGGAAAGCACCAGCCGTCTGCATGATGGAAGCCAAAGTCAGGATGAGGAGGTCAGGTCGTCTCTGTTGCCGTCTGCACGGTACAATCCTGAAAAAGACACGTTCAAGCCGAGTCCGCAAACTGCCGTTCAGGCAAACTCGGATAAGTTTGCAACCATCAAGGGTCTTCCTTCCCCAGCCCCTGGCCTTTTCGAGGCTCTGAAGGAACGTTCGGACAGTCGGAACGGATCGAGAGACCGAAAGCCAGATGGTCTCCAGCTTCACCTGTTCCAGGTTGATGCTTCAGAGAGTGGTTTGCTAGGCCCACTTAGCAGTACAATGAGCAATGCTCGGAGCCCAGCCTCGACATTAAATAGTTACAACTCAGCGAAGAGCCCCAGCGTCAGTGGGCGGAGCATCGACCAATACATCAGCAGTCTCGACGAGGCGAATTACCATTCACAAAAGTATAGTCGAGGAAGGAGAAATACGGACGATTCAGCCAGCCAAAGCTCAGCACGAAGGATCACTTCGAGGAATACTTCACAGGAAACCGCTCGAGGACGAAACGAGAGAAGATACATCCAGCCAGCTAAACGTTCACCGTCCTCTCCGGTTCCTATGTCCCCAGAGGAGATAGCTCAATACAGCAAGAGCACAGGGACCAAACAACCTGCCACCAAATCACGTAATGGGAGCAGAGTGAGAAAACCACGCTCACGACATTCATCAGAGCGTCGTCGGCATCGTTCTGCCAGTCGGCACGCTGCTAGCCGAACGGCTGGGGACAAGAATGATCCTGCTCATCGGGGGCGCAGCATCGATAGACAAAGCTCCGGCGCGAGATCACCGTCCGCCCCATTGCCTGTATCTCAAGCGGAGGATGCCTTGAGGCTGGTCGCTAGTGACAGGGAAAGATTGCGGGGTCACCAACGCAGTAGCAGCCGACGACCTGACAAGGGCGGGTCGAGACGGGACGGGTCTCCCGAGAGCAGACATTCGCGAGCAACGTCTCGCAATGGTCAAGGCCAGGATACGAACACGAACACGAACACCGAACAGGCGACGGATAGGTTGATGACCAGTGCTTTTGCTCAGAGCGATGCATACTTACAAGAGAGGCGCCGTGAACTGGAAGAAGTGCAGATGCAAGCTCGAAACGCGAGCGCTGCAATCTTGCCATCCATTGGACTAACAGAACAGAGACGAAAGGAGCTCGCAGCTGCCGAACTGGAGGCCCGGCGGCTTTCACTTGCACGCAACCCTTCAGCGCCAAACATACCCTTTCCTGGAGAGCTGCAACGCACCCGAAGCCCCCTAGGCAGCCCACCGCTGTCTAGAAACTCTGTCAACCAGCGTACACCGGCCAGGAGAAGAGCGTCGACCAGCAAGGCATCGCCAGAGTATCCGAGCAGTTCCGATTCGAATTCGTCGAGGTCAGGAGGACCACTTGGGCTGCCAGCGACTCCGAAAGCCATGCGGCACCCGAAATATCCCAACGGCTACGAAGAGACTGTCTCCTCTGGGTCCAGTCTTCCAGATAATGTTATAACACTCAGTGATGCCAGGTACCAAGGCGAAGCAGAGAGAATCGGCCGTCCAACGTCCGTTCCAATGCCGGAGCATCAACCCGGTCCCATGCCAGTCGACCTGCCAACCCATCCGAGGTTCAACCCCCGCCTCCCACGAAGCAGATCAACCAGTAGGAGCCGGAACGTCGGTCATCGGCGAGAAAGTTCTCGAGAGTTGGGAGGTTCTGGTGGCTATGCCTACGGCTCTTCACCAGTCGCCGTTAGTATCGAAGAGACTATCGAAAATTCCATGGACCTAAAGGAATTCGAGCATCCTCCAATCTTGCCAGAGCTGCAGCATCTGAACACTCCGCCGCCCCCTCCACCTCCTGTTCCCCTTGGACCCGTCTCTCCACGGGCATCCTCCGGGACTATAGACATTGCCATTGACAACGAGAACCTGGGAAGATTGCTCCCTCGAGCTATGACAGCTGCTCCGGCAATCAGTATGGAAACACGGCCTATCGTCGAGCGCCGCCGCACGTCATTTGACCATCGGCGGGGCAAGAGCGTCAACGAGAGCTTCACGAACAAGATCCGGAATCTAACACGCATGCGCAGCAACAGCCGCGGACTAGACAATTGGACATCTCCCCGCGAGACAGGAGTCCCCTATGAAAGTGTACAAATGTCGGACGGCCGGATATAACCCCGTCATTTCTTTTTCATTACATTCCTGTTAAAATTTTTTGTTATCATATTGCGTCTGCTTCACTCCTATACCATGAAATTTGCTTCATATCTCATTGGACCTATAATCCTTATGACTGATGACCATGCCCCTCTAATTTTTTCCAATCTGCAATGAACGAACCTGTTTCCCGTTTCTCTACATGATGGATTCAATTGTTATACCCTTGCCTTTGTTTCGCCCGATAGTTTCCATAATCACGCGGGTCCCCTTGAGAGATTCTCTTCTTGGTTTCATGATGTGCTCTAAAGGATTTTCTGAGACTGGACTCGCCCGCAAGGGCAAAGGAAAAGTTAGCATGCCATGTCTTATTCAAGCGAACCAATTGCATCTCCTACTGCTTGAACGTAGACCAATCTGTATCCATTCCTATGTTTAAGCCCAGCGACCTCAGACAGTCGAAGTCCGGCGTTATTCACGCCTCGACGAGGGAGGTCCAGCTCCGCCAAGGGAACGTTAGAAGCATGTGTTTGTTCCAGCATACCGTGTCTTGTATAGAAACCAGCTCAAGATAAGGCCGTCGAAGAAGGCCGCCGGTCTCTCGTCTTGATACTCAATCTCAATCTGTCGTTCATCGGACGGAGCGAAGGAATGGATTCTTCCAGAAGCCATGGAATAGTGAGATAACCAGTGAATGAAATATAACTTTCCTGAAGTGGAGTGGTATGATACATGTTATGTTCGTAATGCGTTGCGGGAGGGTCAGTTCCATCTTCCCCATCCCTTCTTCTCTCCTCCTTCAGAGGAGTCACCGGCCATGTTTCTCTCGGCCTCTAGCAAGCGATCAAATTCAGCCTGGGCCTGGTCGCGCTGTTGCCCGTCATTGTCGGCCGTTAAAGACCCCCGGTTCCACGCTGACCTTAGCCCGCCATCCTTTCTCCCCTGGGAGCCGGCCTGCTGTCTGATTCGATCCCAGGCGCTTCCCTGCGAGCCACCGTCAGATCGATACTCCGCTGCAACGGGGCTTGCATCATCGCTATCGAAGAAGTCTGTAGCCTTGTTCTCATCGACAGTGGGAGCACCACGCATCGACTCCGTCGTGGAGGGATCACCGTACAAGCGCTGCAGATTCCGATCCGGGAGATTAGCAGGCTTATCCGGCGACGCCGACGGAACGGACCCCCGTGCAGAGGAAGACGAGTAAGGGTCCAAAGACCCGTAAGCCCCACCGCCCTGGTCATGCTCATGACTCTCGGCGTAGACTCCAGCTCCAGCCCCGGCGCCCTGACCCATCCCCACTTCCACAGGCGGCAAGCCCTGCGCCCGCCGCACCGCCGCCTCCCGGCCCGATTTACTCCTCTCAATAGCCGCCTGGATCTTCCGCTTGCGCACCTCCTCCGGGTCCTTCTGCCGCATCTCAGCAAAGAACTGCTCTAGCCGCGGATCACCCATCGTCGCCTTCAGATCGTGGAACATGCCCCAGATACTCGTTATCACCGAACCGGACAACACGCAGAATAACCACCTGAACCCTCCGCTCATTAATAACCGTCGGAAATTAGCCGGCTCGATCGTCGAGTAGAGATTCACTGCCGCGAGCACCTGCCCCGGCGTCGGCTTCGTCCCCGGTCTCAATCCCCCCGGGACGAGGTGCGCGACGAGCCCCGAGTTCCGAACGCGCCAGTACAGGTACGCCATGCCTGCGGCGCCGGAGTAGGGCGCGCCGAGACGCTGGTGGTAGATGTATCTGCTGCCGTGGTCGACGAAGGCGTCGAGCTCCTCCTGCGTTGGGAGCCGGTTGAGCACGATTTTGCAGGACTCAATGCGGTCGCGGATGTGCTCTCCGTTCTTGTGGAGCCAGTTGCGTGAGCCCAGGAAGCCGAAGTAGAGGGTGAACAGGTCTGGTCGGGAAAGGCACTCGGTCTTGAGCACGAGGGGAGCGTACCCGGGTATCGGGAGGTGGCCTCTGGTGTAGGATCTGAATTCATTTTGAAGAGGCGGGTTGGAGTTACCGGCCTGCGCCAATGTGTTGTCAAGCACCATCTTGGATGGTAAAGTGATGTTGGTCGGGCTCCAACTGTTGACTCTGAAGCTCAGGAATAGCAATGACGATGGGAGTGCGGAGAAGGAAGTTGGTGGTAGAGGGCGCGTGACGTTGTGCAGCTTAGTCATCACAACATTTACCCAGCATAAATTTACTGTTTATCTACAAAGTACAAAAGAACTGTTACTCGAGCATCACTATCATAAAATGTATCATTCGCCAAGATTATCTACCAACTAAATCTGCTCAAAGGATAGATTGCGAATGCGGTAGTAGGTATCTGCCCGGTTAGTGCTATCAACATCACCAAGCCATGAAAGGATGCACTAACCAGTTGTTGGACCAGGAGTCCCTGACGATCCCTCCATTTATAGATTGATGATCCTAGCGGAGTCAGTTTTGGGCAATATCTTATACGATGAACAGACTTGCGTTGTTGGATACTTACAAATGCAAGGGCTTCCCAATATATTCACTCCCATACTGGGTCGTGATCAGCGTGCCGTCAAGGTAGAACTTGACGGAGATGTTGGTGCCATCAATATCGCGGATTTCCGACTTGATCGTGTGAAAGTCGTCAGGAGAGGGGTACTCGACATCCAAAGCTTGTACTTCAGACGAGGTCTGTAATGATGACTGGTCAGCGCACATCTGACAGCATGGCTTCAAGTGCCCCGTCTCTCACATTGAAGGTATTGAAACTGATATCCCCGGTTCCTGCCGCTGTCAGCCATACAGAGTACGAGCAGTTCGCGTCTCGGGGTATAATACCCTTCCACTCAGCAAGATCAATCTCAGGTGGCCACGTATTCGCTCCATTGAGCCAGAATGCAGGCCAGGTGCCTTTGGCAGTCGGCGCCTGGAACTCAGCCTGGATGTCGAAGCCTGATCCGGCTTCTACTGTGAACGTCGTTGCTGAGTGTACCGCACCAGATAGATAGTTGATCTCTATACCTCCGCTGGTAGCGGGCTGGCCGCTAACTGGTTTGGCAACCAGAGTCAGTGTGCCTGAGTCGACGGAAATATACTCGTGATCGGTCGAATTGCCGACCATACGAGCGGATCCATTATGATCTGAGCCCCAGGGGTAGAGGTAGGCAAAGTATTCTTCGAGAGAAGAGTATGAATCGAAGCACGTGGAGGGGATCAATGTGGTCGCTGCAGAAGCTAGAGGGAGAAGACCTAGAAGGATTGGAAACATCATTTTGGCGCACTTCGGCTTTCTTCAGCAGATGGCTGAGCTTTTTACTACACTTTTGGTTAAACAGTGTCCTTTTATAATGGACTTGGGGTGATTTCTGTCATCTCGGTAGAACTTGATGCGACAACTGAAACAGAATATGCGCCTGAGCGAAGATCAACTTCACCAATACTTTCGATGAGATCATTGCCTCGAGAATCAATTTATTTGCTACCAGTTTCCCCTTCAAGTTCCTTCGGAGCCTTACTGCAAACTGCAAGATCGACACGGAGGTTACAGCGCTACTACTGCACAACCATTTTGTTACGGACAAGGAAACAATGATTCAATCATTATCATCCACTGATATATCTCTTCGGCCTTTGAGTTACCACTTCTCCACGTATGGTCGAAGGTCCAGCTCGAACCCAAATGTCGTGCGCGGCTGGGTGTGCAGATGCCAGTATGACTCTGCAATCTATTTGTCTAATTAGTCATTATGGTCAATCTCAATCAGTGGGAAAGCAACTTACAGCGTCTGGGTCAAGTTTAGCGTCTTCATGCTCGAATGTCCAAGCCTTTGTCCTAGGAATATCTATGACCCCATCGATAATGACATGAGAGACGTGAACACCCTTAGGCCCGAACTCTCGAGCCAGTGATTGAGCCAACGCTCGTAGAGCGAATTTGCCCGATGCAAAGGCCGCGAAATTGGCAGACCCTTTCAAGCTGGCTGTAGCCCCCGTGAAGATTAAAGTTGGTGGATGCTGTAAGCCCTTCGCCTGAAGCAGGAGAGGCAGAGCGCCTTTGGCGAAGTTGAAACCTCCTTTCCTGCTTTTGATTGAGTCTCTGCTTGAATACATTTGTCTTGTGATTTAAAAAACTCACCCTTGGTTCTCAAACCCCTGGGAGAATTCTTCCTCTGTGAGCTCAAGGAAGGGTTTGCGCACAAATCCACCGGCAGGATTGAACACGGCCGCTGCGAGAGGAACACCAGCGTACTGCTGAGATATCTTCTCGAACGCGGACTTGACGCTTGTCGAATCTGACAAGTCCGTGCTGATACCTAGGGCCTGACCACCGCTGGAGTTGATCTCCTGGACAAGGGGTTCGAAGTTCGCCGGGTTCCGGCTAAGTACCACCACGGAGTATGCTTTGGCAAAGCGTCTGGCGATGGAAGCGCCCTGGTCAAGCCTTAACAGATGTGTCTTTAACAGTCAAGTGATGAACTTACCGTGCCAGGGCCGACTCCGGCGATGATAGCCAATGCTTTGGAAGCCATCTCGTTAAACTTGTTGTGAAGTGACACTGCTCGGTATCGGAGGGTTCTCTCTTGAAATCAGAAATGACACAGATTCTTCCTACATTATATCTCTTATGATTGAGATGTCGTGATTTACTTCGGGCATTTGTCGATGCCGTGCTTAGAAATACATGTTGCACATTGATCAGTAATCGCGATGATATCATCGTCGCTACTCCGTACAGTGCTTGCGGTTCGACCTCGGATAATGTGTCCATGATGATTCCGCTCATCGTCTGATAGACTCTTAAGAGGGAGGGTCGAGTTGCAAGGCTCAAATGCCTTAACCATAATTCAAAAGAAAAGTGAAAAGCATTTTAACAACGTAGTGGTTCAAGCATGGACAGCACTTTGGCCTGAGGCACTCAGGCAATAATTGTTATCGATAAGCTCACCTCGATTCCCTGAAACTTTTTCCTCATGGGTCGTTTGCGCAGCTTGCCGCCAACGTATATCCCTATTACAAGGGCATCATCAATAATATCATTTACCCTTATCGTCAATTATTCTTAGTATCTCCATCAACATGTCCAACGCCAACGGCGACTCCTTACTGTCCGATCTATGCACAATCTGGTAAGTAAACAACATCCCCCTACCCGCCGTCGTATCAAACAACCACCAACTAAAAACCCCTCTCACAGCCACATCAACACCCCCAAATACCGCTGCCCCCGCTGCTCAACCCGAACCTGCTCCCTCCCCTGCTCCCGCCGCCACAAGCTCTGGTCCCAGTGTTCCGGCGTCCGCGACCCAGCCGCCTACCTGAAGCGCAGCGAGCTCGCCACGGAATCCGCCTTCGACCGGGACTTCAACTTCATCACGAAGATCGAGCGGAGTCTCGAGCGCGCGGAGCGAGAGGCGGAGAATAGAGGGATCTCGTTGAATGGGACTACGACCGCTGATCCGGCGGTGTTGGGTCTGGGACATGAACTGGGGCAGGATGGGGCGGATGCCGGGGCGGGGGGGAAGAGGAAGAGGCCTGAGCAGGGGGGCTTTGTGAAGGGTGAAGCTGGGTTTCTGCGCAAGGCGCAGAATGCCGGGGTGAGGGTTATCAGGGCGCCAAGGGGGATGAGTAGGAATAAGGCGAATGCGTCAAAGTGGAATCCCAGGTATGTCTCTTTCCCGGCTGGTGATGATGATGACGTCGGTTACTGACGGTCTCAAGACATAAATGTTTGAGTTGGACGGTCGAATGGGTTACTGCGGATGGCAAGAAGATAACGAGGAACTGCTCGGAATCGTGCACTCTGGCGGATGCATACGACCGCATCTACCCACAACCTAAGGAGAGAGCAGGCGAAATTGTGCAAAATCCAAAGAAAGACGATATTCAACCATTTGAAAGTACAGGAGACCGAGAGCAGGAGTCAGAGCCCGCGTCCAGCGAACAGCCGACGCAATCAGAGACCGTTGAACCTCTTTCGGCAGCACCAACTGGTCAATCAGCCACGGAATCAACCCTAGATCAACCGTCAGGCTCAACCGAAAGCAAGCACGAAATAATCCCCCATCGGGGTGTTAGCTTCTATCTTCATCGTCCACGAACTGCTACTAAACAGCCAGTCCTCATTCCTTTATCTCCCAGCATGACTTTAACCTCTGCTCTCCGAGACCGTGCGGTTCTGGAATTTCCCACAATCTACGCTCTTCCCCAGCCTCCACAGGCATTACTCGCAGAAAAAGAAGACCCAAGGTTCCTTCTGGAGGAAGATTATCTACGGACCCAAGGGTCAGAAACCGATATGACCGAAGCCATGTTGCAAGAAGCTTCTGAAGATCAAGTCCAGACTGGCAATTTGGATATAGGGGATATCGACGAAAAGAAAGTACTTGAAGTGTTGAAGCAGGATCTATTCGAACCGATCGCAGCCGATGCGTCAACGCAATGATTTAGACTTACGCTTGCTTTGTATTGCTGAAAGAGCTTGGAGTTGGATGGAAACATCGTGTATAGACGTCCCTGATATCATGTATACAATGGTCAGCTACATCTCGCGAACTGGTCACAAGTGCCAGGGACACTCTCCCTTCCACTCATGGTATGCAAAGGTCAACTAGTCGCTCTGGCGCACTGGTATACTGATAGAGTCATGGCTGATTGAGGTATCACTCAACTCACGGCGCCGACAGAGATCGTTACCTCGTATAGGTTGAAGACAGAATATGAATACGTGGACGTGTCTCGATCCGCTCGGCAGTCGAGACTAGAGCATCATGGTTAATCAAAGCTTGCCAATATCAATTAACACAAAATATCAAGTGCGACCAATAACCGCGAGGTATCTAAGTGTTATGTACTCATGTTCAAAAATAAATCAATGTCAAATATAACAAATGGGTATCCTTGCAAATAATAACCATTCCAGGACGCCTTGCCAATGCTTGGTGGTTATATCCAGCTGCTGCTGGACTAATTTAAATGAGGTTCTGATAGACTTGCTGTCGATCAATGGGATGACAAAAATGTCACGTGTAAAAATCGTAATATATCTCATTAAGGTGATTGTTTGTGTTGAGCCCCTGCGACCTCCCGTTCAGCTGTACGAGGTGGTCAGTCAGTATTGAAAGGAATTGCTTCTCTTCCATGGGCGATGCCATAAGAAGTCGGATGGTGGCCAATAGTTGCCGGGTTCAACGTGAACCCGGTTGAGAAATGTTGTATGGTCACCCATACATGGTAGACATGCAGACAACCGGGCCTACGCAAAGCATGTAGCCTGCTAGTGTTCTATACTCGATCATGTACCAAGTCAAGTGGTCTGTGGGACGGCGGGATATCCGACCAGGCATTGCCATCAAGTCAATGGAGTTGTAGCATCGGATGCCGTGTCTGGGAGATCATGTTCTTCATTCCTTGCAGATGATGGGGACACAAGCTCTGTCGCAACGGTGTTCGCCACTGTGCGAACCTCATCCTCCTGAGCCGATTCTGGGGCGGCCTTGCCTTGGAATGAGCCTGCCCTGGATTCTGTAGGCGACATATTTAATCGTTCGGATCGGCTTGGTTTGAGTTTGAGACGGCCTTGCTCTAGAGCACGAAGAAGGGTACCGACTTCCTCAGACACGATACCTCGAAGCTTGCTCATTGCGTCGTCAGACACGTCCGAATGGACATTCCAGCCAAGTTTGTCGGATTCTTCCGAGACCAGTGACTTCGACTCCAATGAAGGCCCCGTGATGAGCCTGTGTAGAGTGGTGGGGGAGACGTTGTTGGGTCGGCGTGCCATCTTGACCGGTTTCTGTTTGGAACTTGAGGAGACCGAAGCTAAATCTTCCTGTTGGCGCTCCCGCTTCGGGGGACGGGGAATATGAGCGCTCGGCCCTTCACCAACTTCATTTCGAATCTTGTAGTAGACCAGACCCAAAGTTGCGGCGAGTGCTTGGTGTGCGGCTTCCGGATACTGACGAACAGCCTCGGCACGGGTCAGATTGGAAGGGTATTCACTGGAATCGGTAGAATCGCTGTCACTGCCATATAGGTCCGACTGGTGCATGCGGCCCCAGTACTCGAAACCTCCCAGCTGATAGAATTCGGCGAGTTGTACAAGTCGGTTAACTGTGGATTATGTTAGGTATCGTAAGACTCATCTCGAGTGCAAAATCACTCACTCCTACTGCGCTTCTTCAAGCACCAGAATCTCCAGACCGTACGAGGGAAGTATTCGGGCCACTGAAGAGATCCATCTTCTTCGATAACCGGAACAGGCGTGATAGGGGCATGAGTGGTGTGAGCAAGGGAGTTGAATCGAACCCGTTCCGAGTGCTTCATTCGAGCCTCGATTAGGGTAAACCGGTTGAATACGGCGTTCAGGTGACGCGATGTCTCGTGTTGAAGAGTAATCAAATCGGTACGTAGTTGACTGATAGCAGCATGCAGTTTGCTGATTTCAATGCGGCATCCACAAACATCTGTCTGCAGCTGTTCCAAGTCGGCCTGGACCTGGTCGATATTCTTCTGGAGACGGTCGACATCACTGCGCAGAAAGACCGTCTCGTTGCCGGCCTGGCCGATGCTGGATTTGAGTTGAAAAACGCCCGACTTGAGCTGATCGACATCCGTCCTCAACGCAACCACATTCAAATCGATTCGATTCGATATCGAGCGATTTGCTTCGAATTCTCGGCGAATATGGTCGTCTTCGCGGTTCCGTCGATCAACATAACCGTCCTTGGTGAGGACCGTCGAGCGCAGCTCGAGTACTCGTGAATCTAGGAGGTTTAAACGGTCGTGGATTTGGGACAAGGAGGGCTCAGATAGAATAGGAGGTGTCACATCGTGTCTGACAGAAAGTAGAGGGCTGGATATGGGTATTGACATGCTCGATGTACGGGAAAGACTTCGTTCAACTGTGGCAGTCATGTTGATAGTGAGGATGATGGCGGTCGGTAGAAGGATATTGATGAAGATTGTGTAAAAATATGGCGTAAGTTCGAATTTTGCGTTAATATTATATCATCTGCCTGTACAGATCGATTTATATGCGAAAGAGGTCCATTTTGATGATGATTTCGATGATAGTGATGATGGTTGGGTCGTAGGTGATGATGGATGATGATGTGATGATGGATGGAAGGATTATTGAGAGAGGAGGTTGGACGACTCCCTTTCTCGTTCCGGCTGATGCCCCCTCCTTTCATTTTCTTCGATCGCTTGTTGCGTGGCACAAGCACATACGGCAACTCCTGGCCAACACCGGATCGCCGGACAGCGACCATAAAGACTCGCCATCGCTAACAGTTGGATTTTGACGCTTGATAATTGATATTTTTCTCTCAAATAATAATATTCATACCTTTATCTAACTTGACAATCAAGAATCGACTATGAAGCTGTCACGACACATCTATCCAAGATTCGACCCAGGAGGAGCGACGCAATTGAAATGGTTGGTAATTACAGGATTTATGACAATACCGTCTCAGGGCAGCCCAACGCCTTGGCCTCTGCATTGCGTCCAGCTGACTCCGTAGAAGCCAATCATAACTGATATGTGGCTATCGCCACAAAGATGAGCGACCGCCAATTGGACAGCATAAATAACTGCTCGGCGTCTCTCTGCCTTATTTGAGCAGTAGTCTCAGTATTACTGATACAGACATTACACCTTACTCCAAGTACAAGTACAAGGAACTGGAGCATCACCAATGCCCTCAATTCAGGTCGACTCAATAACAGTGGCTGTGTATATGGTGCAATCAAGATAGATAACTCGTCGCATGTCATAGAACGTCACTCATGGCTCAAATAAGAATCATAAAGGATGAGTCAACCCATATATATTTGCGCAATCCTGAACTGTCTCTGGGTTGACCAGTTGGCGGCACTGACCAGTTGACAGCCCACATGGTTGCTATCTGAGGTTTGCTGTTTACTACAGAGATGCTCAACATCAAGCCTCATGGTAAACATTAATGCTAATAATGACACACTCTTGGCACTTTCAAAGAAAGAAATCTATACCCTCATAGATTCACCGACCTCGATTGGGCTGCAATTGTGTGTGCAAGCGTTCCCGGGTCCGGAAATGAGTCTGGGGGCACATTCTCCCATACAAAGTGGGCCAGTTTCCCAACTACTCAATCAGAGGTAACAACAAGGAAGTGTGACTGTGAAGGGAATCTAACTTTAAGCCTAGATGATAGGTAGAATTGAATACTTGCTATGACTTCTTGTCAATCTTAAGATTAGGCAGGTAGTGTTGTTCACAACAACAAGAGACGCGCCTGCCTCTCTTGATATATACTTCAAGATGCTTCCTCGCGATTGCTCAAGTAACAGGATGCGAGAGACCAACGCCTCTTCATCGGTGTCAACCTAAGGGAGCCGTTATTACTTTCGTTATCTATTATCCTCACATCTATCTACACTTCGAACGCGTTTGAAAATGAAGGCGTTCCTTTTCTATCTTCTACCCTCACTCTTGGCCGCACCAGCCCTCTCTCATCCTGCCTCAAGTAACAGCAATACCGTGTCTCCTAGACTCCCCTTCGACTTCTACAAGCGTCAGTGTGACTGCTATGTTGTGTCAGGACCAGAACCGGGATACTTTGAGAACTACGCCTTCTGGGACTTCCGAAAGATCCCTTTGCCTCGTTACGAAATCAATGGTAGCAAAGGCCGCGCCAACATGAGAAGCTCTATCCTGTCCCGAGCCGATAGAATTGACAATAATAATGAAGTGGACGAGGAAAAGAATGTTGACGAGGAGGCAGAATTTGACTTCGGTACTCTCCTCCTCTCACACACTGCGTTCGCAAGGGACTGGAAACCCCAGAGGTGGCACCGCAAGAGCGACAGAACTGGACCTGTCTCTATCATTAACTCACCAGAAAACATCTTCTTCGCGAGAAACACCCTATATGCAGATGATTCCGAGTCAACCCACCTCGTCCTGCGCACAACACGGTTCCCTGACCACACCGCGACAGCCGAACTGGAACATAAACTTCGCAACATCTTCCACTGCTCCCTACGAGTCCGAATGCGCGTCATGAAAGTCGACTCTCTGAGCCGTGAGCCAATGCTGTATGGTCGCCCATTGCCGAAAGTAAACACGACAGATCAACCAGTGGTACCCGGAGGCGCATGTGCGGGTATCTTCACATATCGTTCATCGACCTGCGAGTCCGATATCGAGATCCTGACTTCAGATCCACACAATATCGTTCGCTACGCTAATCAGCCCGACTACGACCCCATAACTGATACCATGATTCCGGGGGCGGCATCAATCGGTACACTTCCCGGGCCATGGACGAACCCTATCACGCACCGCGTCGACTGGCTGCACAATATCACCAACTGGTACGCCGATGGCGAGATCCAAGCCTTCAAGACCTACCAGGTCCCCAATCAACCGAGCATGATAGCAATCAATCTCTGGAGTAACGGGGGTGAGTGGACAGGCGACATGCCCGTGGGACACAGCGTGTACATCGGCATTGAGTGGATCGAGCTGGCCTACAACACGTCAGCAAAGGTTAAGGGAGCACCGAGCGATACTGTGCCCTTTCAGGGACATAGACATAGACCTTTGGTGCAATTTGCAGCAGTAGAACTTGAATCAGACAATGAGAGCTCGGCAGAGGAAGTTGAGTTCACCAAAAGAAAGGAGGACAGGGAATGTTTGAGGCCATGCTTCTTAGACTCGTGATCCATGATGACTGTCAATTACTATTCTCTTAATTCTTATGCAACAATTCTTATGCAACAATCCTGATGTCTCTCTTCAGCCTTAAGACTAGCGGTGCTCCACATAGACCTCCGCTCACGTAGGTGACAGTTCGCGTATCTAAACACTCTATGATTCTTGCTTTGCTATCTGAAACAGGAAGAATGTTTGACAATCGGTAAATTCATTTTCATACAGTACTATCCTGTACAACAAACACAAACAAGCGGTGGCTGAGACGCTGAAGAACGAGCTTTCAGAAACCACAATGCATGCTCAAGTCAGGAGCCGAAGCTTCGACTGACGGGGTATCAGAAGCCGAAAATGCGCACATGCGCCAAACCACAAGAAACCTAAACGCCATGCTGGTATCTCCAAATCATACAATGCAGGCCATTCCATCATTCCATCATCCTGTCCCAGCGCCAGAAACATGCAACGAACATTGGAGGGAGGCGGCCCACTCAGTCTGTACAGGTCCGTAATCATACATCATGCACCGAAGTGCTTCTTCTTTTCTTCTCTTTTCTTCTTTCTCCCCCTTGAAACGACAACGCCGAAACCCAAAGCAAAACACACATACTCATACAGAAAGAAAAAGAAAATAACAAAAAAGAAAAAAAAAAAAAAGATTCTTTTGCTGCTTAGAGCAGCGGTTCTCCACCCCCACTGGTGGGATCGAAATCCCCCTCCAGCCCTCCATTCATCAGCTCGGCCACTATCTTACGGCGCAGGACGACAATGTCCTTAGCACCGTAAGATAGTGGCTCGAGACCGATGGCCACCGCCTTCGCGGTCGACAAGAGGAAAACGCCGCAGTCGCTCCCGTTATCCTGTTGAGGGGAGCTGGACGGGAGTACTGTCCACTCCTCCTCAACATAACGGGAGGCGAGCTCGGCCCGGAGCCACCCCTGCACCAACCCCACGTGGCGCCGGGAGAGAGAACCAAGCGAATCAAAGTGCTCGATGGTTCTCTCTCCCGGCCTGACGACGATCAGTGTCCAATGGGCACTGTTGTGCACGGGGATGAACACAGTATCGACGTTCAGTAAAGCCTCTCCCCCGATTTTGGCCCGTGTTGCCCAGCGACGTACCGACTGGTAGCCTTTGTCGCGCAGATTTGAAAAGAAGAACGTGCTAAACGCGTGGAATCGGGGCTTGTCATGACGTCCGGCGTTTCCGTGAGAACGACGCAAGTAGTCGACGATCAGAGCAAGATATGAGTTGATGATTTCGTCGTTCAGCCATGCCATTGGAGTGTAGCAAGTGGCAAGATCTCTCTTAGTCAGAGGATCACCGGACAGAGTTGTGGCGATCTGGCGACTGTTTGGCATGGTCTTGATCTCCGAAAGCTTCGTTTCCCATTTTGGAGGGAGAGGTCGTACAGCAGGGCCTTCTGGTCTGACTCGGGTAGGCTTCTGCTTCGCTCTTTCTTCTTCTTCGATCTTTCTCCATTCGGCGGCGTAGATAGACTCTGTGCGACCTGGTGGAAGTGGCTTCTGAACTGGATAGAAAAGCCTAACTGCGGAAACGGGTCGTCCAAATGGAAACTCGGCACGAAGCCAGTCATCAGCTCTGGTTTGAAGTTCGTCGTCACGCGAAGCAAGTTCCACTTTCTTGGCAGCTTCGGTAGTTGGGGGCACATTCTCTTTTTCTTCAACAATTTGTTCTGTACGTTGGGCAACACGGTCAATTTTGGGGGAGGGTGGGGTGAGGTGAGGGGCAAGCTCCGTTAGGAGGGCTGGAGGTGTGGGGGTAAAGGTTTCGGTCAAAGGCTCTTGGAACCGGACGCGCTTCAGTTTTGGCTTTGGTTCAATGGTAGCTCGAGGCTGAATGAGTGTAGAGCGTTTCGACTCAATGTGGTTGACGCTCAACGACTTGGCAGATGGTTGCAAAGGCCGAACTGCATCATGCTCGGTTGTTTCAAGTGCATGAGCCAGCGCGCGCTCACGGCGAGTGTTTCTCCAACGTCTGAGTCGGTTGCCCGCGAGCAGGCATCGTTTGAGCCGCGGACTGAGTGACTCAACACGGGCTCGCTTTTCCTTTCCATGCTTCTCTTGTTCCTTGAACGAAACGGTACGAGGTCCCGATGTTCCGATACGCTTTCGAGGTTGTCTCGGGGTTCCAGTCGGCTTCTTCGACACGGAAGGATCGCGAACTTCCGCCATTGCTTCGGTCTGAGAAGCAGCGCCAGCTGGGCAGTGTGGAATATTGAGAGACAGTTCTGGAAATGGATAGTGTTCGACAGTAGGGTATCCTCTTTCCTTCCGCCACTGATGACTCTTGAGTCGCTGTCTTTGCTCCTCTGGAAAGTTACGTAGGTTCGCTCGAGTCGGGGAAGTTGAAACAGCAGCAGCGGTTCGACGAGATGAAACGGGGCTTGGTTTGAAGAGCCGTGTGACAGTTGACCAAGCATAACTGAAAGCCTTACTGACTACACGACCCACAGTACTATTACGTGCCTTGTAAAATGTCTCCTGCCACGACCCGGCGATCTGCTGGCCATCTTGGTATTCCGGAGAAGGAATGGCCGAACCGTAAAAGGCGGTTGGGATGGGAAGAGGTGTGAATTGAAGTGGGTCGTTGCAACCTTCGCGGACATTAGCAATCGAATCGAAGTCAAACTCCTCGGGCCAGCTGCCCGGGATACGCATGGGACCATGGGGGAAGCTATTGCTCCACTGAATGACGCCGCTGACTTCAAAAGGATGTATGGGACCTTCAATGGGCTTGGGACCATGAGGAGACGAAGAGGGAGAAACGCGAGCATGAGCGGGGAATTTACCTGCAGGACGTTGGGTGGTAGCCTGTGCTACATTTGCCTGGCCTTCAGAGGTGAGGTCTTGAACTCTGGATTCGGAAATGAGACCTTCTATCGCTTTGTGCTTGGGAGTAGAGATAACGGAGGAGTTGGCGTCGCGAGTATGAGTAGACAAGTTGCCTTCGCTATTGTCGGTAGCTGTAGGTTCAGAATCGGCCTGGTCGCAGACTTCTCCAGTTTGAGGGTCAGCAGCCATAACCTGGACGGTTCCGTCAGGCACGACAGGAGACACGCGGGAACCCTTTTGGTCCACACGACGGTATTTGGCGGAAGGGGTAACAGGGATGTTAGAGTTGTCAGGGACTTGCTGAGGGGGGTCACTCGTAGGGCCTTCGTCAATAGATCTCTTACGAGGGAGAGACGAGAATCCAGACAGGAGAGACGCAGAGCGGTCGGGCTTGGGAGCTCCACCTTGAGAGGGCATGTTGAGTTTCCGAAAGTTGTTCCAAGCAAGACCACGATTGGCGAGGGAAGAAACGCCACTGGTCAAAAGACTGGTACCATTCACAGCCGGGTTATTCCACAAGGGACGCGTAGTGTGATTAAGACCGACGAAGGTAGAGCCGTTTCTCGCCGCAAAAGATGTTTGTTTGGCTCTGTTGAAGGAGGGCTTTGTGATTGCGATTGCGATTGGATTTGACTTCATACGACTTGCAGCTCTGGACTTCGGAGAGAAGGCAAAGCGAGGTCTGACGAAGGGGGAGTTAAACATACGAAAAGCGGGATACGGGTCATCGATTGTAGCAACATAGCGGGGTACGGGATTCGCAAGAAAGCGTCCGAGATGAGAGTGAGACAGAACGTGATTCTGAGGAGAAATGGAGCCAACAGGCTGAGCGATGGTCTCTGGCTGCTGAGCAGGAGACCACCTGATAGGACTCGTGTCCATAGGATCGAATGAGGTGTTGTCAATTTCTGACTGCGCGTAATCAGCAGAGAGCAGACGCGCGTCTCTCTCGGCCTCGTCCACCATCTCTGGCTGCTGAGTCGCGAAGACACCAGCCATTTTGGCTTCGGAAGTGAGATCTGGTAGTAAGTTGATATGGTTGTCTGAAGTTAAAACTGTGGATAAAGAAGCTGGTGAGGAATGGATAAAAAGTAGGTATGCTGCAATGAAGAACAGAGAAAGGAAGAAGAGAGAGAGAAGGAAGAGAAAGTGGGCGAAGAGGTGGGTTGAGTCAAAACATAGAGGTGGACATTCACTGACCATGCGCACCTCCCACTGTTCTGTTAACAGCTCAACGTGTTGCCATGGCGAAGAACACATCAGTGTGCGACTTGACAGGAAGCATCAATAGAAGCAAATTCGCCTCTCAAGAGGCAAGCACTGAGTATGATCTCTCACTAGGAACAAGCCAGTACCATAGGAGAGAGATTGATAAGAAACTCAGATTTATCACTGATGCGGAAGCTCTCACGAAGCTTTGTCGCGGCGCGCGGAGTCACGTGATTATCTCTACGTCAGAAGGAGGGCTAGGCCGGAAGTGGAATAGTCCATCTCTGCAGATCATGCTCAAGCAATCTTGAAATTCCCACAGTATACAGACTACCTTACAGAGTCCAGGAGTGGCTTCGAAAGGAAATTTGTGGGAAATTGATTGAGTAGTCGATCATGACTTAAATTTGGACATATATGGAAGTGATTTCAATTTGAAAGTGAGAATCGAACACAGTTTATAAACTTGGCCAAGTATCGTATGTGCACGGGATATTATTCGACAAATCTCTCGATTGAACTTTGCTTCAACCAGGCGGATAAGGAGATCGCAAAGGAAAGCGAGAGAAGAGGCAAAGGGACATGGAAGGGATGAACAAGATGTTTATGTATATGGCCGTGCTCTCGTGATTTCTACAACCCAAGGCCTATCTTATCGAAGACTATAGGCGCGCCTTCTATCGTTACCCACGCGATACCTAATATAGGGCAAACCGTAAGCAAAGCCAGCGTCGCAGCTATTCGACGGCATCACTCACCTGAATATACAACAAGTTTAGTCACCACCTCCACATCATATCGGACACGGGGTTTTTTCACTTGCGAAAAGACCTCCGTAAGATCGGGTTCCTTTTCCTCTTCGTAAGCAGGGAAGGGTTCGGTTGAAGTATCTCGGTCTGTGGCTGTGGTGATGCCAGGGCTGTGGCGTGAGATGCCGGTACCCATCATATGTTCGTACTCGTCCAATTTGGACTGCTTTCGCGTTAATTTCGGTGGCTGCATCCCAGACACAGAGACGTTTGCTGAGTCGCCGCCGTTTTCAGCGCCTGGGTAATTGTGAGCGATATTTGACAAGCTTTCGCGTCTGCGCTTCTCGCGATACGCCAAAGTCTCGTAGGCATCAGCCTCGGATTGAGGGCCAATGGATACGGCTCGGCGGCGGGGATGGCGGATATTGGTGAGAATCGACGGAATCTCCGCGAACGACGGAAGGACATCATGGTCCTTCAGGTGCGCTGGAACGGTTTTGTACTGCCTGCCTAATTGTCAATCAATCTATCCCCCATTCTTCGGGCCGATGGATACAAACTTACGAAGCTCTGGTAAAGAATCGCCGAGGAAGCAGGAGACCCAACTTCTCCAACGCTCGAAAGATTGGAGGTAGGGTCCGTAGGAGAAGAGGCTTCATGACTTCTCTCCAAGTGAAAATCAATAGGACACCCAGGAAAAAGCGCAGTACTGTCTTTATCAGGCCCAAATCCTGGTACCGAAATGGTATCGTAGCTGGGGATGGCTCGGACCAAGCGATACTAGACTTCGCGAAATGCCAGCAGGCCAATTGCACTCCAATTATTACACCGGCAAAGGCCACACTGTCGTCGAAACACGGACAATCATCTGCTGGTTCCGGGTGAATGCGCACGAGGACGATGATCACCAGTACTACCAGCGCGATTTGTTTGCCTGACGCTGAAAACACGTAGTCATCGAGAAGAGACCCATATGAATTTTGCACGAACGTAATCAAAGCACCGAGCAAACAACCGACAATGACATCGAGAAACCCGTGCATTCCACAGTAAAGGCGACCTAGTACAACGGAGCTGACGTAGAGATATGTCATGCATTGAAAGATTACGTTGATGTGGCTGCTGAGAGTCGAATTGGGCGAATTGAGCAGGGTAAGCACGTAGATGGCGACAGAGACGGCATTTGTCGAATGGGTCGAAGGGAACCCATACTCTAGCGCGGCTGAACCAGACATAGTAATCCGCTGGAGCGGAGGTGATAACGGGCGGGGAAGACATAGCAAGTCCTTGATGAATCCGCTGAAGAAGACCCCAGAGGCTAATACCTGCACAAATCTGAGCGGCGCAAGTTGTTAGCCGACATGGTTCCATTCCGAGCGACGAGTTGTTCCCTTTCTCAATGGCTCAAAGAGCTTCCACCCTCCCACATGCACCTACCCACGGCCCAAATTCGTATAACCGCTCCAAAACAACATCGGCAAAAAGATCATGAAAAAAGTATGCGTTCCCAGGTTGGCGGTGAATGCGAAATAGGAATCGAGGGTCGGAGTACGAATCTTCTCTTGGAACCAAGCCAGATAGGGTGTCTCATAGCGCACCAGAGGAAGGAGTTTCTGTCGAGGCAGATAACGCCAGTGCGGGAGTCGATTCCGGTCTATTCAGCAGTGGAGAAAAGGAGACCAGGTAAGTGAAGATTCGAAACAAGCAGTGTACTTCATTCCGAAAAGAAAATGTCACACACGTACAGTGATCTAGGCTCCGGAGCCCGGCATCTGGATTGCCAGTTGCGCCCTTAACCATACTGAAGGCGGCTGATTCGAACGAGAAGTGGTGTAATTGCAGTTTTCCCCATAGAGTGCCAGCCGGTTACGACGTCTCAACACATGCGTGGGATTGATGAGCTTGACATGGCAATAGCGGATAAAGAAAAGGTCACTGGGCGATATGTCCACTTCCAGCTGAATTTTATGCTTTTTTTCAGGGGACTTGGCCACACGGGCTGACAGAACAGGAGATCACCGCGGGCCAACGACATTTTGTCCCGCGGCATAAGAGGGTTTGGTGCTTGGCAGTCCAAGCGTCGCGATCGGCGATAACGATTGTGCGTTGGCCGCTTAGTCAGGAACACTGGAGGATGTGGCACGAATACGAATCATTAGCAGCAAGATAATCTGCGCCTTGGTACAAGAATGTCTTTTCTGCACTACCTAGGCAACAAGATGAGAAGACGATTTTGATCGTCATTTCAAGAGGCAGTTTAGTGATGGCTACATGGAGGAAAGCTGACTGTTGGCGCCGTCAAGCGCAGAGATATATTTTGGAGTAAGCGCCTTTGGACTCGGACAGTCTTGACTCTTGAGGTCGATCCAGTAGATCCAGCCTGGACAATTAAATCCTCAATCTGAATCGGCCTGCGCACATGGCGAAACAACAAACTCAACGATTGGCCTGACTCTCCATGCTTTCGTGTCTGAGATTTGAGGTTCTCGACGCCTGAAATCACATGCAAGGAATGTTGCTTGCGCACAACTCTAAATTCCTTATAAGCTGCAGACAAGTCTAGATCCCTCAAGTCCGCCAGATCTCTGCGCGGGCAGGGTTTGTAGGCTTCCTTTTGAAAGTCGCCCATTCAAAGCTGGGATCTCGGGACTGTAGGCCTTCATATCCGAGGTAATGAAGCCTGTTATGGTATCCCTCTGTTTGGCCGATTAAGCAGATACGTATTCATGACGAAAGTGAGCGAGAAAGCCTGGCAGGAGCAGAGATACTAAAGAAACATTAGACGAGGGCTTACCTCTCTAGTTGGCCAATGTTCGGATCGAGGTACCTAGATACCGGGGCTCAATTCAGGTACTGGCAAACCACAAGCCAGTGTCAGCCTTCAGATTGGAGCGGCTCAATGGTCCGAACCTCCAGCTTGGCCTGGCCAACGACAATACACAAAATATGGACCAGATCAACAGGCGGATCTTGTTGGTGTATCGCTGGTACTCTAAAAATAAGACAAGCACCCAAAGCGTGCGCGAATGGGGATTCTGGAACCCAAGAGTATCGTCCTGGGCTCGAGTGGCAGCGGAGCTTTGTGCGTCATCCAGTCCCGTGCGGTTGCCATGGCAGCCCGCCAGCCCGTAAACACCGCATTTTGAAGGCTGCGGTTTCATGTCACCTGCACTCGTTGTTGGAGCAGCAGCCATGCTCTACTCAATTGGGGGAAAACGATCTTACGAAGTGACATCCCTTTCATCCTTCAATTGTTCCATATTTCAACCGCACCTTATCCTCTAAGCATCCATCGAGAGCATCAATTTACCATCTGGGTTTGTTCGAACTGCCGCATCGCACCACCGGTCACCTGCGAGTCACCTGCGACTGGATAGACGATAACCTCCGTTCAGCTTTTGATACGTCAGCTGGACTGTTACAGCAGCACCACATACATTAGACGCATTTCCCCCTTTCTGGGTCCGCTGGGTACCTCGTGCCAATTTATTCTCCTAGATTCATCGACATGTCAGGACACATGTATGAAGACAGCGGCTACGCAGCCTCTCGACGCCGTTCCCTTGCAACTCCACCGCCTTCCATGACTCCAAGACACAATCGGGCCCGTAGCCAAAGTGTGAGGGTCAGTAATGGAACCGTCAGCACAAATACCAGTGTCTCAAGCGGAAGGATGTCGGAAGCCACAAACATCACTCAACCGCCAGCCTATTCAAAAAAGTTTGTGGTAGTGGGAGATGGTGGTTGCGGTAAGACATGTCTTCTCATCAGTTATTCACAAGGGTATTTCCCAGAGGTAAGCGTTTTATCCTTCGACGTCGGATTTGATGAGACTCCTCTCTCACTGCTCTAACTTCTGCCTTTCAGAAATATGTTCCTACCGTGTTTGAGAATTATATTACGCAAACCACCCACCGAGCTTCTGGGAAGACAGTCGAACTGGCTCTCTGGGATACTGCTGGACAGGAAGAGTACGACAGACTGCGCCCCCTCTCATATCCCGAAACAGATCTTTTGTTCGTCTGCTTTGCCATCGATTGTCCTGCATCGCTAGAGAATGTCATGGACAAGGTATTTCACTCACCTCTCGTCTTCCTGCAACATCTGACCAGCATGAATAGTGGTATCCCGAAGTACTGCACTTCTGTCCCACCACGCCTATCATACTTGTCGGTTTGAAGTCGGATCTGCGCACGAAGAGGACTTGTATTGAACTCCTGAAAACTCAAGGATTGACTCCTGTCACGCCGGAACAGGGCGAGGCAGTTGCCAGGAGAATGAATGCTTCCTATATCGAATGCAGTAGCAAGGAAATGCGCGGTGTTGATGAAGTTTTTGCAATGGCAGTCGATACTGTCGTGTCTGCCGAAGAACAAGACTGGATGGGTACCAGCCAGAATAACGGCACCAACAGCAAATCTGGAGGCGGCGGTGTCCCCAGAAGCGGTACCAAGAAGATTAAGAAGCGTACTTGCAAGATTTTGTAAATCTTGTGCTTCTTCTCTCTGCTGGCTTGATTTTTTCTTGTTTCACGATTTTCTTACAGCCGATTTCGGGGCCTGGTTGCCTCGACGGCGCGATGGACTAGCTTCTTTTTTTTTGTACGTGACATGCTACTCCAAGCCGGATAATAGTTTGAAGAGAAATATTCGGCTTCTGGCATGTGTTGCGGATTGTCATTCCTTCAGACGCGCTGGTCAAGGTGGCTTTCTGATTTATCTTCCCTCCATGTTGCTATACCAGTTTGGCCTTGATGATTGTTACCATGAACCCGACGATTACCTTTTTCTTGTCCTCGTTTCCATTTGCGCGATTGGCCCTATTTAACATTTGATGTCTTTCATGAACTGGCCTGAGAATACTCTTCTGCATGCATGGCATGGGTGTTTATCGGCGCAAGCAACGATCCCATGTACCTGAAATGATAAATTATCAAAACTGACGATTCTAAACACATGCTCTTTATTTTCTGTAGCCAAATCTGGCGTAATAGGGTATCAATAGTGGAATTCCAAACACAGTAAAACAAGTACATAACTCGTAAGAGAAGCAGGACGATCATCGACGTGAAAAACACCCTGTGCCTACATCGCTAGTGACTTGTCGAGTCTCCCTCGGCGAAACTCTGATCATGGCCTTCTTTTCCTTCCTCTCCATCGTGTTGCCCTTCACCCTGCCTCGTCCCGTTCTGCTCATTCTCTTCAGAGCGGCCCATGAAGTTCTCGAACTGTGACCAGAGAGCTTCGACTGAACTGAACTCATTGCCAACCTGCGTATCATGTTACCAACAGATTTTTCGGTCATTGATTGATCCTATTGTTACTTACTGCAATGATACTTTCCAGGTTGCGGTTTAGGCGGTTGATGTTTTGAAGTACTTGCTCCATACCCTGTTGTGGTTCCGTCAGCGGTGCAATAAATAGAGTGCTTCCAATCCGTAAAGGGATTCAATGAAGAGAAAGGTTGCATAGGCGCATGAAGCGGTCACTATTGTCTCTCGCAGAGCCGAATTGCTTACCACTGCGATTTCCCGAACCAGTTCCTCTCGCTGCTGCTCAAAGACTGTCGGGGTCGATCCCCCCGGTGTTGCTGACATTTTCCCGCGCTATTGATTGTGATGACTCCACAAGGCGGAAAGTTTTCGATCAGAGGACTTTGCCTAGTATCCTGCCTTAAGAATTTGATCACAAAATATTATATCTTGAGTATATCGTGGAAAATTGTCTGATTTGGTCTTGGACGCGTTGATTTGTTGCCATTTGCGCTTTGTGGCTGATGAGGGGCGGAAAGCCTGGCAGTATCTGGTGGGCTTTTGACCGCCTACCTTACCGCTTGTGGGATGTCAATTTGGGCCTTGGGGGAATCAGTTGCTTTCAGTCATGGTTCACGATGGTATTAGTTACCGCATCACCTTTCTCGTCTTTGAGGACGTAACTGCAGCAGGACGCAGGGAGAACGTCAGATCATGCATGGTCTAGTACCGAAGGCCCAAGATGACTCTCCAAACACATCCTCGATGAATAAATGTTTGAAGCAATGGCTTCACTTCGAAAAACGGCAGTCTACAGAAGTCGGCCCTTGCATAGTGACATGGCATTCGAATCTCGATACGGAGTACTTATTAGATCCAAAAGGGAGGTCCAGCATTCACAGCAGAAAGAATGCATAACTCACTGTGCTCTGAAGCCTAATGTCAAACTGGCCATGGCAAGAGCCAGCTTATCTAAATTGGCCGTCTCGGGAGAGTCCGCAGCTGGGCGGACGCATTTTTTTGCAATATTGGAAGCAGCTGAGCTGGTTACAGAAATCACTGCAACATAATGACCCCAGTCCCTTAGGAGGACGAACACCATGCTGCTTGTGGACAACGCCTAAATGGTATTGCAAAGGAAGGGCTCGTCAGAGGGAGTCATAATTGCTCTTAGAATGGTCTAGGAGAGAGCTCAAAAGCATTACTCTTATTCTATAACAAAGATAGAATTGGTATTCCACCACCCAGACCTTTTCTACAGCATCAGCAGTTTTCTGTGACAGCAGGATCGCGAGTGACCTCAAAAGCCTTAAACAATCCTTGATATGAATGACCGGGACATATGTCTTTCCTCAATCGCTCGATTATACCACTTTAGCTGAAATTTCAAAGCCGTCGTTGGTCAGCCTTGTTGTACCCATGTCTTTGTCTTGGATCTAAGAGAAATCTAAGATATGAGGACTTTCAATAATTCTGAGACAAAGATGGAATAGCAATGACAAAATGTCAACGTTCTCTTGAGGCCGACCCTGAATGGCCACACAGCTGCTCAAAGATTACTGTGATGAGCTGCTCCTTCCAGGCTTGTGCTCAACATCAAAAGCCAGAGAATTAGCGGCCATTCAAGGCTCGAAAGTAATCAATAGGTGAAAGAAGACAGAACACATTAAACCTCACTTCCTACGCAATATTGAGAAACAGGTAATAGGGGCAAACACTACCAGCGCTCTTTGGCAGCAGCTTGTTGAAGAGGACACAACCAAGTAGCAAACACAACTTCCCAGAAATCCCCTTAACCCCACAACACTTATCCGTCTCCCATCTCACCATATAAGATCCTGATACGAGCTTCTCCATTTTGTTGAAGACATTCCTCACCTCAAAATCAAGCCAGTCTTTCCTTTCCAACCCCCAGCCAACAGCGTTTGATTGGACTCACAAAGAACGTCAAGTTACATCTCGACAGTATGGGCAAAATCGACAGCCTAATGCTGTCAGACATTGATGGCTTCGACACAGAAGGACGCGTACGCCTCCTCGAGATAATCGACAGGCTACGCGAGCTAGGGATCAGCGAGAGCGTTTCCCTTCCCCAGGTAACACATCCATTTTCTCACGCGTTGGGCTTTGTTTTGCTGAAAGAAATGGTAGCTAGTCGTTGTCGGCGATCAATCCAGTGGAAAATCCTCTCTCCTAGAGGGCATCACAGGCTTCTGCTTCCCCGTGGCCAGCGACTTGTGTACTCGGTTCGTAACACAGATTGTCCTTATTCGAGCCGCGGGGAGCGAGGCAGGAGTTCGAATTACAATCATACCCGGTCCAACAGCTCAGATGAATGATGAGTACAAGGCACATCTCTTAGGATTCGAGAGGAAGATGGCAGAAGACGATTTTAGGAGTGATGACTTGAGGCAGATCTTCAATGAGGTAGGCTCATACTCAAAGCATATTGTGTCTCGGCTGCTCAGACGCACAGGCTGCAAAACGCATGGGCGTCCCGGGCCCTGATACCGAGGACCTGAAGAACATGGCCAAGCGATTTTCTGATGACATTCTGAGAATCGAGATTTCTGGTCCTCACCATCGAAACTTGAGTGTGGTGGATGTGCCTGGCTTGTTCCACAGTAAGTATGGCCCAAAAAAAGATTGGCGCTTGTGCTGAGCGAACTCGCAGACCCCACGGCCTACCAGACGGAAGAAGATCGCGAGACCATTCGCAAGCTGATTAAAAGCTACCTCAACGATAAACGAACCATTATCCTGTTAGTAGCTATTCTTGAAAACATGAATTGCAGCGCTGACGATTTGTTTAGGGCAGTGATGGATGCGAGAAACAATTTTGCCAATCAAGAAGTGTGAGTGATTCAACATGTCTCTATGGAGCACATAGCTGAGGGGTTCAGATTCTCTATGGCTCAGGCCGCAGATCCTGCTGGGGCTCGCACAGTCGGAATCATTACCAAATGCGACGCCTTGGAGCCTGGCGATGAGGGCAGGGTAAGTTGGCCTGCTTCTACCGAAGGCAGACATGTCTGATCGAAATAGGTTTTGAAAATCGCTAGAAACGAAGAAGAAAGACTGACTCACGGTTGGTTTGCCGTCCGAAACCGCTCAACAAAAGATATCAACGAAGGTATGACGATTGAGGGCCGCCACAAACGGGAACAGGAATTCTTTTCCACCGAAGCGCCATGGAACACTCTTAGACCGGACAGAGTTGGGATTAAACCGCTGAAGGCTTTCCTGGGACAACTTCTGTATGCACATATCCGTGGAGAGTTTCCCGGTGTCGTGAAAGACATCGAAGAATTCTCGCGAGACGCGCGGGAGGAGTTGGAACTGCTTGGCCCTTCGCGGCAAACAGCTCTAGATCAGCGACGCTATTTGACTCAAATCGCCACCAAATATGAACGGGACGTGTCGAATGCGCTCAGTGGGAACTATGATTCTAGTTTAGATGCGAACAGTATTTTGAAGCTGAGAATGCACATCAGGAATTTCAACGATGAATTTGCCGAGACGATGGCCCGTGATGGCCATACTTGGATTTTTCAGAATCCTGACGGCCAACGAGACGAAGAGTACGAACGCTCTGAGCGAGCTGAGGACAACATATATGAATGGATCCGGAAATTATATCACGATTCACGGGGTGCTGAGCTGCCCGGTATGGTGAATCCCAGCGTTCTTGAATCTATGTTCCGGCAGCAAACCGTGGAGTGGGAGCCAATCGCTACCAAATATATCGACAAGGTAGCTAGAGCCGTTGATGATTTCAATCAGATAATTTTCGACAAACTGATCGGCGACGACGTGGTCAGAGACCATCTCGGGGCACGTCTCCGTGAGCAAAACCGGGAAGCCGTCAATCGTGCAGCTGATGAATTGGACAGTCTACTACAGGGTGAGAGGGGCGGTGTTTTGCAGACAGTCAACCGCTATTTCGCTGAGACGCTGTCCAACATTCGTCAAGAGCGCACTTTCGTACGTCTCAAAAAGAGGGGCTTGCACGAGGGCATTTTATACTCTCTCAAGCAAGTCGTGGATATGGTTCACATTAGCAACGAGGATCAAGCTGTTGACAATATCCACGATATTCTCAAGGCGTACTACAAGGTCGCTCGAAAAAGATTTACAGACAACATCATTGTCCAGGTAGCCGAACGTCACCTCCTTGGGGTCAATGGACCCGTGAGGACGCTGTCACCTGAATTTGTTCTGAATCTTGAGGATAGCGAGCTCTTGCATATAGCCGGTGAAAGCTACGTGACGTCGAGCAAGCGAAATGAGTTGTCTTCCAAAGTGGATCGATTCCAGAAAGCTTTGCAAATTGCGAAGTCAGCCAATATCTAGGTTTGCCACCCGAGGAACATCTTGTGCCTGCCATCACTGTTCTCCAATACCATGGTTATTCAACTGCAAAATCACATTTGTGTGACTAGATGATGAGCTAGTATGAAAAATTAGCTTTCCAAGAATGTATATCGGCCAGGTCATTCAGTTTTCGCTCGAAGCAAGCGTGCATTCCTCCTCATCTCAACATCGCCCTGTGCTAGCCATCTACTTGCTTCTACTAGTTGTATGACATTCACATATTGCTTGAAGAGCATGAAGAGTGATGAGAGGGTAAGCAACAACCACGGCATGGAACTGTCGATTTTATTGGCACTAAATTAGATGTCAGCACCAACTATCCTAACATAGTCAGAGCTGTACTTACCGAGCCATTTCCATGGCCCCAGCACTCCAAGGCGATCCCCAGATCTGGGAGGCTGTTGCAAAGTTTGCTTCGTTGTTCTCCAATGAAGGCATGAGTGATGGCGAAGAAAACGATAGTAGATATAGCGCAATGAAAAAGACCTCGTTCATCGCGCATACAGTAAACAGAACTTTCTGTAGATATGTCAATTGATGATGTTTGCATTCAAGAAGGGTGATGCACGAACATGATTGGAGTAATATGTTCTCATGACCCAGGGCCGACTCTCATCGATATCCTTGTGACTCTGGCGCTGTCCGCCCATTGCTAGGGTGGCATACATATGGATGTAGTGGCTTGAATAGTCCAGGCTAATTAAGGCTTGAAAGACGATGCTCCATCTGGGAAACGCGGTTGCGAGAAATACCAACAGACACGTTGTTGTGCATCGATCGGTGATCATGTCCAGGACAGCGCCGAAGCGTGTCGACTGTCCGAGGCGCCGAGCAGCCGCTCCATCCAAGGCATCTAGGAGATACGAAACGCTATATAGGAGTGAACAGGTTCGTGGATGATAAGGCATATAATAAAGTGAGGCAATAGCGAAAACGACTCGTGCATAACCTAGGAATGAATAATCAGTATTGGACAACTCTTTGGTCTTCATGGCTCGAAAGATTCTCATACCAATCAAGTTTGGAAGAAAAAGGAAAACATTCTCTTCCCTTTCATTTACTGATTCTTGATTTTCAAAATGGGTGGACATAGTGGTTTGCGGTTGCATCGATGATCTCTGGGTAAAATGATTAATTCTGAATTAAAGATTGAAATCATTTACTAATTTATAAGGATGCCTAGATTGATCATGTGTCTTAATTGGAGGGAGATTTTCCAACAGAGACTTGAACAGGGATCAGGATTATTATTTGCAGGTGGAGAAGTTACCAGATCAACATCTTTCATTGGCTCTTTGACTTATCAGGATAACCATAATGGCAAGGATTGCTTTGGCATGATAGAAACTGTTTGCAGATTGAATAACGAAGAGTCTTCTAACCAGTAGTGCCAGCCCTTGGCTGCTTTAGCTCATGGTGTGACTTGATGCCCTGCAGAGTTCGCTCACAATTGAGCTAGATATAACGCCGATTATTCAGAGCCAAATCGTCCATACAGTTTTCATTATATCCTGCGACTGCAGAGCGTTCTCTTAGCAGATAGAGGAGCTGGTCTAAATGAACTTCGCTCCTCTGTTGTTGACATATTTGGGATAGCACCATGTCGGCACACCAAGGGACATCAAAATAGAGACGCGATTTCCAGAAACTGCGTGGCAAGTCTTTCGCACATGTTCTAAAATAAGGACTTGCCAGGAATAGGTTGAGCACGCAGTGCGTCGGGAGCATCTCAAGTATGCGCAACTGCAGTTCGCGGGGAATCAATGAGAGGCAATCCGTCTGTACAGACTTCGTCGAGTTCGATTTTTCATGGGTCTTGTCTTGTCAAGGTAAAAGGCAAATGACAAACCGGAGCTGGACTCGGATGACGCCTCCGCAATCAAAGCCTTCAAATCGAATGGTCCGTTGGGATCCATGACGGTCCACTGTTATTCAGTTAGCTTCTTTGTGCTCATCTATTGCTATAGGGTAGAAAAACCTCGGAATTCTCCACTGGGATCCATCCCTCGAAATCGAACCGTCCCTCATCGCCGGATGTATCACCATAACCCCAGTCGAAAGAGGGGTTCTGACGATCTGGCAGCCCTGATTTCATGACTGAGAGGAAGTCGTGCAAATCTAATGGGCGTGTAGCTGAGACTGTATCTCCATGGACGAGCTTCAACATTTCTAAGCAGGTGTCATGAACCAGGAACCCATCCTTGTTACATTCCAGGAAGTTACCCCCTGGATCTCTGGGATTCTGCAGGCGTGGGTAAAAGAAGCAACCGGACTGGGGATCAACATGTTCCGCCTATATTATAGGTGAGGAGACCCAGTTATAATTTAGCGTTCATGTAAAGTGTGAGTTAAAAAGAAAGACATATGAGAGGAGACACCATAGGCAAGTCTACCGAGTCTTTCTCAGTGAAGAGATGGGCGTCTGGGATTTGGTGAGTTATCAGGCGAACATCACCCAGCCACTGACTCCCAGAATGTCAGTGACGGCTCTTAAGAACAGGTGGAATACCAGCACCTTGATGTCCTTCAAATGGATATCCCGCGCATTGCATCCCAGTAGCACTTTGCAAAACCTCGAATGCCTTTGCTGGATTTTGTATTAGCTTCTTTTTTTTAAAAATTAACGTTGATTGTTCGGTTTCTGGTGCTGGTGCCTACTTGCTCACGGTCACCTCCACAGCTGCAGTAATCGTCGTATGTCTCATGCTCATAAAGTTGGTCTTCTTCGTCGAGAAACGGTAGAGAGGACCGTTTGATCAGCCTCTTGTATGTCAGAGGGCCTCCGCAAATGTTGCAAAAGAAATTGGTTCCTTCTTCCTCCATTACTTTTCACTTCCGTTGTCCTTTCGAGTGAAATTAAGGAACCAAATCAATCAAGTGCTGAATGACCGAGGTGAAGAAAACTGAATAAAAATCTGAAGCACTTCGGGAGATGAAGTTTATAAGTTGCTCAACAGTCAACGCAGTGTCTAGTCACCTGACGGCGGTCTAGTTTCCTCCACCTTCCTATTCGAATTCTTTACAAGTCTGGATAGCCTCAGGTCTCCCCAAATAGGCAATATAAAGCTGCAGCGACTTTAGCTACATAGCGCGTAGCCTGCTTTGATGATGATGTCATTTTGTTTCTCCTTGTACTCTGCCCCCTAAATTATGGGCACAGAGAGGCTCAAGATGTTTATGTGCGTACCCTCCAACCAAAGTACTTGTTGAGACGACAGATTTTTAATAGATTATTGTATGTGCTGTTCACTGCCTGTCAAAGGAATACTATGCAAACTTTGAATCTAATAGACTGGGCCTCTTCTAGCACTAGGCCATACTAAAAGCTATAGTTGTACTTGGTTGTTTTGTGCCCTTTTACTCATACAGTCTAGATAGGTCTTGCTTGAACTGATACTGGAATACTAAACGAGTTGCTTATTCACTATACCATCTTCTTCACTCTTCAGGCATCACTTACACCAACCTTCCACAAGTTTCTTCAGCCTCCTCTTCTCATCATCCATCCCCTTCCTCTACATCGTCCGATTGAATATGAGGTTGCCATGCCATGAATGCCGATTCTCATACTTCTCCTGACTATAAGATCCATCTGCTTATTGAAATGCCAGAAGCCTTTGGGTCCATCCCTGTTGACTACTTCAGTCCCAACACCAACCCGGTGTGAAGTTATCCAAGGGACATCTGTGGAGAATGCAGCGCCTAAGGAGGTATGTCCTACTTAGAAGTCTGCCATTCTTGGGGAACATGTTTTGGCCTCTAGGCTGACACTCAGAGACACTATACCATTGGTATAGAGTGCAATAATAAGAGGGATCTTGGCGTTATACGCTCTCTTCAATAACACAATCAGTATTGGGTCGAGTATACCCTTGATGCAATGGATGGTATTCCGCCAAGTACAGAAATGGAAAGCATATGATCCTGCCCTCTCTAAGTTAGTAAAGGCATATTGAGACTAGCCATATATGGCCCTTGATCAATTAATGGCACCACAGTCACAAAGTATCTATTAGTAGAACCCAAGTGAGGAAATGTAGTGAACGTTGTGATCTCAATACAAGCCATTGATATAATTAATGTATGTTTGGGCGCTCTAAGCCGCAGATAAAGACGGTACCAATGGAGATGCCAGGTAAGATTTGGCAGAGAGGAATGACAGCGACTGGACTGCGGCATTTTGCCAAGACAGCGACAGCGATGATTGAAGGACATTGACGAGGTGGTTGATGCCTGCGGAATGTCAAACCGCAGTGCGTCATCTGTCTCATTGGGTCAAGATATGGAGAAGAATGAAGGCGCGATGATGGAAAGGAACGCTCAGTATTCAAATCGACGAGTGGTTTCAGGGAGGAGAAAATCGATGCATCGAGACCTTCTTGGTGTCGCTGATGCGGTCATGGTCGTTGTTTGATTGTCAGCATTTAGGCATCTCGAATCTGCAATGAACAGTTCTGAGACGGAACAAGGGCTGTTTCGAGAGATTCGTTGATGATTGATTCGTCAATTTTTGAGTCGCATGGCGGTTAGTAGTTACACAGTAGCATAAGACAAGTACAACACTCAGGAGGCTGGCTCCTCTGAGTTTCTGGATGGACCAAGTATCCAAAAAGGATAATGACAGTGTTCAGTCACAAAGTTGAGATTGCCAATCAGTCTCGGAACGACCCGCTGATCAACCACAGGACGTCATATCCTGATGAGTTTTGTGTTGTTGTGGAGTTCTATCCGAGGAACGGCCCAATAATTAAATCAAGCAGTGGTGAACTTGAGTTAGGACACAGAACACAGACATCTACTTCAAACAAAGTTAGTATCTGAGGATTTCTGATAAGCAGTTCAACAAATGAATGAGTAATCTCTTGAAACCTTCTGAAACAGACAAACCATCACGCTACTTCAACCACCATCCTCTCACAATGATCATCATCATACGCTCGCGCGCAGCCACATCTACGCCATTTCCTCCCCAAGCGCCCACTGGGGTTCTGCTATGGTCAGCCACCATGTGGAATCCCTCGGCGATCGTTGCCGGTACGAGACACATACCCCACCTGTGTTCTGTAGGGGATCATCATACGCCCTGCTAGTGATGCCGCTGGGCAATAGTATCCGGCGGTGGGAGACTGTATGGTCGGTCAAGAGAAGGAAAATTCTAAACCCCGCAAAATTAGGAATATCAGCTGCATGTTCATCCTCTTCAGTCACGGGGTCTTGTGGCTGTCAATATTAAAAAGTGTTTCGTTCCTCGCGCGGGTTTATAATCCCAGAGTATCCTCGTTCTCTTTCAATCTTTCTTTGCTTCTGCATTCTGCGAAAGCAGAATCTGACAGTATTATCCATCATCAGCACTTATTTTCAGTGAACAAATGTCTTTACTTCTCGTGACAGCTCTCAGCATACTTCCATCACTGCCAGTCCGCTTCTGTTGACTCAGCACTGCGCCTCTGCCTCTTCCCTCTCTGGCGCACTTCATAAGCAAATTCCACTCCAATCAACTACACCAACACTCAAAAATGCGCGACATGCCATCCAAGTTCATCGAGATCCTTGATCCCGCAGATAACCTGCGCATGTCTGACTCGGACGTCCGCCTGGAAGATGTCCTGGCCGATCACGAGGCCATCGCCACTCGACCTCGTTCCTCCACGAAGACCAGTGACCGGTCAGACCGCGACAATTCCTCCTCGCCATCACAGCGATGGAAAAGACTGAGCACTATTCTAACCACGACGCGACGGCCTTCCACATCGTGATTGCTATAATCAAGTTGCGTATATTTCAGTTATCTTGCGATGATATAGACTGCGACATTCGCCAAACGCGAGGGATGAACCAACGCTACTAGATACGGATATTCGAATGTCTCTACGATATGTTATTCTGGATTACCGGGATGGTTGACTGGCTCAACACATATGACTGTTCTTGTTGGCTGGGACTTGGTTGAAAATCCTATGTTACGATGATGACGTTACGATAATAAACCCTCCTATACCCGAGCATTTTGCTATACACTTTTCCCTTCTTCTTCAATAAGAGCCGGCTGGGTCTAAAACACGCAATCATTCTCCATCGTGTGCTACTAGATCATGTCTTCCTGGATCATACTGCGCTACTGCACCCAATCGAAATCGGACGGACATCCAAAATCGCCAGTGCTGGCGTGGTCATGTACAGCATTACCTGCAAATCATCCCCAGTGCAATGACATACCTATTGACGGATAGGCAATGACGGATACAACGGAACACTTGCGTACTACGTGTGGAGTTCCAGAAGGCATAAAGAATGAGGATGAGGGTATGATGTCGATCATGATCATCATGGAACACTGTTGATCAGATATGCCGTTGATCCGGACATACAAGCGAACTATTTTTAGATCGATTACAAAATAGATCAAATATTCTAATAGAATGACAGGAACTAAATCCGCTTAAGAGTATCCAGATGTAATACGGAGTACTATCTTATTTTGCATTCCAGTTCCCATGCGCCTGTGACGTCATGGGCGCAGGCTCAGCCCCTTGGTGCCTTGGTGCCTAAACATGTGTCTGTTGTCTGTCCATTTTCGAAGATGAAGATTGAATCACCAGCTGGGTTGGGAGTATCGTTGCTAGGCTAAAGGGTAGTATAGTATGCCTAGCTCATAGCAATGCCTCAATCCGCCAATTGCCATGCCCAGCGCATGCAGCACCTAAGCTGTTCCTCCGCCAGCACGATATCAGTCTCCCTGCCCTGTGGTGGTCGGTTGAATAGCTCCTCAAAAGGAAGAACAAGAGGAGTACCAGAAGCAGTATCTGAGCTGATTTCAGTAGTCTGCGCAGCGTAAGCTTGCGGAGAAGCCGCAGGCTGCTGCCATTTCTTGATAATCAACTTCCGTCTCTGGCGATGCATACCAAGGACGATGGCAATCCGCACCTCTCCTTGGGAGTTGCGCAACCACCACCTTGCGTCTTCGCGGAGCCGGGGTAGTGACCCGACGACTCCTGCTTCAACCACCAGAGTGGGCCAGGCCGCACGGTCTCGCGGGGTCCCGGAGTTGGGGAAGAGACATTGATCCGGCTGTTTGCCCTTGCTCCTTGCACAGAGAAGCCGGGTGGTGGCCATACCCCATGTGAATTCTGCGATAGGGTTGATTCCCCAGGCGAGGCAGAGAAGATCGATCTGGCGGGTGATGTTGATCGTTATGGCATCGTGCTCATAAGTAAGGATTTTGATGATGCCGGTGGTATTGTCGAACATGAATCGGTATGGGATGCCGTCCAGAGCCCGTTCTTCGCTGTCCAGCTGCTTGCGGGCTTTTTTGGTCAGCCCGTGGATGATAATGAACTGGTTTCCGTCTCCTTTCTTGTTCAGGGAGTCGTGGACACGCTCTGCCGTGTGCTCAAGGTCTTTTAAGTTCGTGAATTGGATGACGATATGATCTGCTGGCATATTCGCCGTCATTTCCGGATCAGCCATGCTCCTAGAGCTGTTAGCCTAAGGGACATTCTGACACGTCTTGCCCTCTTATATTGCGATCTCACGAGCATGCGTATCAGTATGAAATACCACCATATCTGCCATAGTAAACCCTAACGCCCTAACCAAGAAGTACACCATTGAGACAAGACCCAGCAGTCTCCCCGGTGGAATTGTTGTTCAATACACAAAATAACCAAAAGTCACTTACCACGTTCGAAGGCTCCACTTGGAAGTAAGGCTTCTCAAAAGATACACAGAGCACATAATAAGGTTCTCAATCGAGGGTCAATCTTAACGCCCGAGGAGGACGCAGAAAGGGTTAGAGCTGCTCAAAGAAGGATCAGGAAGGCTTAATGGTTGAAAATAAGGGAATGAAGCTTGTCCACTGCAAGTAAGGCTTTGAGTTGAATGAGCTTCAGATACGCCCCTTGTCTTGGTTCCTTCAAGGTGTATTCTTAATGTGTTCATTAACTCTCACATCTGCTCCCTGTAATGTCTCACAGATCCTGAGGCAAACTCCAGCTCAATGATGATTTTGGAAGCTTTAGGCAATCTTCCAACACAGATACGGCAGCTACTAAAGAGGGTATTTCGATGGTGGACCTAGATCAGCTCACATCTGGTCATCACAGTCGCAACCTATCTAGATACTGCTCTCATAGCGTAGCATCAAAGAGAAATCGGCTCATTAATCTGCATCTTCCAATCCAGATGTAGTGTTGATGGTTGTCTAGATGATGTGTTATCAGTGACGTCACGCTATCCCTTCGACATCCATTATCAACCATTACCCACTGGAGTATACCGAGTCCGACATTCTGTTTCATGCAGAACTCCATGAACCGCGAGAATGCCTCCAAAACGCGCGAAAAAAGTCACCTCAGCAGCGAGAAACCCCCCATCTCCCCCACTGTCTGAGAAAAATGTTACGACAACCCACGAACCCGAGCCCACTGACCATGCCAGTCCGCCCAGCTCCCAGCAGAGCGAGATCACAGACACCGTCCCCTTCGACGAAGACGAAGAGATGCCAGAGGAAACTGAGCACACCGTCAGCGAAGAAGTAGATACACACAAAAAGCCCGCCTACGCAGGCGGATACAACGCCCTCAAGTCGTTCAAGGGACAGGTATACTCCGGGATGGCGGTAGGCGGGTCTCACACCTGGACCTACGACGCGGGGACCTGGAAAGAAACAAAGGAAGAGCCGGATCTCTGGCGGGTCGACTACAGGACCAACAAGCGGCGAGCGCGCAAGGCGCCGGAGGGGAGCGGTGCCCCTGTCGGAACGGAGTACCACTGGCTGATTGTGGCGCATCAGCATGTGAAGAAGGTGGATGCGAACACGTACGAGACGCATTTGACGGGATCAAAGTACAAGCTGGCGTACAAGTCTGCGTCGTCGAACTCGTGGTCTATTCCTACGGTGAAGAAGCAGCGCGAGAGGGAGGTGGAGCTGCTTGAGGATGCGAAGCAGCGGGTTCAAGGGCTGCCGCCGGTGTTGGCGACGGAGAAGGTCAGGGTAGAGAAGCATGAGAAGGGGCAGCAGAGGCTGGATAGCATGTTTACCAAAGCTGCAAGTGCGGATTCGGGGTCGAAGAAGCGGAAGATTGATACGACCTAGCCGCGAGGTCTATGTATTCAAATGTAACGGTTTGTGAGATAATATAATCGGAACCTGTTTCTACTGTACTGACACTTTATGCTATTGATGTTTCCATACTAGAATGTCTGTGATCAGGGCTCTTGCCGGTCAATGCTGCAGAATGGCGACACACTTGGTGCATATTTCCCCGCATTGCTGGACATTCCGAACAATTGCCGCAGTGTTCGGCAGTTCCTTATGAAGCTTGTCATGAATCACGATAATTCCCGCAGTTTGCACTCAATATACTAGTCCATGTTCCAGTAGAGGGTCTGCCTCGGTTGGTCTTCGTGCATGGAGCACCGTTGTTTGAGCTTGGCGATGCTACCACAACCATCCATCTCCACATATCTGGAACTTGACAATGATGAATAGATTAAAACACCTGTTGGAGACATTAGAAGAAGTAGACTGATCCAACCTGCCGAGGTGTCAAGACCCTATGCTGACACTGGATTGGCTGCTTGCAATCTCGGTATTTGATCTCATTGTCGAGATGGCCAGGAAAGGATGAGATGGCTGACTTCGTTGCTAGATGAGTCCTAAACTCACAATGGTCTGTCAACTTCCGGTCGATAGGCCGTTTCCTATTCGGCTACTGAGGATTGTAGGCAACAATCGTTCAGCAGATCCGAGGAGTGAAGAAGACATGACGACAATACCGTGGCTTGAATACTCTCAGGTATAAGAAGCTCGTCTGGCCCGTTGATGGGAGCTTCACTTGGCTTGAATCAAAGAGCAGATCTGTGCTATTCGTTGAATATTCTATCAACATGTTCCACCCGCTTTTCTATCTCTGCCTCTTTCTTAGTGCTCTTGTTGAGACGTATGCCTTTGCCATTGGTGGACCGGTCAACACCACCAGTGGCCCTGTGCAAGGTCAGTCATCGTCTCTACGACCCGAAGTGTCAGAGTATCTGGGCATTCCTTTTGCGCAGCCTCCAGTTGGCAATCTACGCTTTGCTGCCCCTCTCGCAGTGACTAGATCTTCTGGGATCATCAATGCGACATCCTATGTAAGCTACTTCCACGAATTCTGTACTATCGCTGACGACGCTACAGAATCCGTGAGTACATCAATATTTGGAATCAAGACCCTGCTGAACAACCAGTGATTGCCCCTGTAACCGAATTCCGATGGATAAAGCATCTCTCGGTGGTCCTGTTGGAGAAAAGATCACTCGGCATTATCCCAGGAGGGGGATATCCTCAACGAGGACTGCCTGACCATCAACATCTGGACAAAGCCACAGCAGGGTGAGAAACAAAAGGCTGTATTGTTTTGGATCTACGGCGGAGGTATGGATTATTTTCCCTTCCAAGACTAGATTGACATCAACAGGATTCGCCATTGGAAGTACTGCTAGTCCCGTCTACGACGGTTCTATCCTGGCCGATGAGAACGATGTGGTAGTCGTCTCCTTCAACTACCGGCTCAACATCTTCGGGTTCTCCGGAGCGCCCGGTCAGCCCTGGAACGTGGGACTCCTTGATCAACGTCTTGCGCTTGAGTGGACCCGAGACAACATCGCACAGTTTGGAGGGGATCCCTCGCGCATCACAGTCTTTGGCCAGTCGGCCGGCGGGCTCTCTACGGACTTTCTTGCTTACAGCTACCCCGAAGACCCCATCGCACATGCACTAATCGCCCACTCCGGAGCTGCGAGTTCTGCCCTCTCCGCCAGCTCTGATATGGCAACCATCCGAAAGACATGGTATAATGTCTCTGCCACTCTGGGCTGCGGCGGTGCGGACGCTGGTGAAGCGACCGTCGCGTGCATGAGAGCCAGGAGCTCGCAGGACTTGCTGGATGCTATCGCTCCTCTAACAGCCGGAGGCATGCTAGGCGGCTTCACGCCAGTCGGCGATGGCACGGTCGTTCCCATCGATGTCCCGGCTGCAGGAATCGCTGGCAAATTCGCCCGTATCCCCTTCATGACCGGAAATACAGACAACGAAGCGGGGTTTTTCCTGATCACGGCTTTGGCTTACTCGAACCTCACAGCTGAAGAGGTGGCTGCACTTCCTATGACCTTGATCCAGCCATTGGGAGATCTGTTGACTCTAGTGGGATTCACCTGCCCTGCTGCCGAAGCTGCCAGGTACCGGTCCCTGTATGACGTGCCGGTCTGGCGCTACAGGTACTACGGAGGAAACTACAGCAACACTTATATCATCCCTGTTGGGTCAGCATATCACACGTCGGAGCTACCGATCGTGTTCGGGACCGCTGCAACCGTGACGGGGGTGGCAGATACCAAGTATGAGGCACAAGCCGCGGCGTACATGCGAGATGCATGGGCGGCTTTTGCGAAGAATCCAAATGATCTGCGCAATGTTTTCCAATGGCCTACGTTTCATCCTCTGAGTATGCCATCGATTCGATATTAAGCCAGTGTTGAGCTGACAGATACAGCTCGATCGGAAATCCAACTTTCATACGGCCAGCAGACTGAGGCCAGCTACATCTTCAATATCCAGACAGACGCTTTCTGTCCGACTGTCAAGTTGTTTTCCGGGATTTTAGAAGATATTGCCAAGATACTGTCAAGACTTGGGATTGAAGATAGCTCGAGCTCTTTGTTGAGTAGGCTAACAAGTAGGTGCTGTCCCATATTCGCGCATCAGCCGCTAACTGGAGCAACAGGTATCTTCGATCAACCTTTGAACACAGACAGTGCGGTCAAACAGGCGCTTAGTTCTTTACAGTTGCTTGCATCGCAGGTCTAAGCAGCCGTGTCGAGGGTTACTGGCGAATGTTCCACGCTTCTGTGCTTGTGTAATCGAACTGCAATTACCTCAATCTAATCGATATGCACTCCGTCCCTTCCTCCTGCCGTCCATACAAGACCTAGCATAGTTCTCTAGACGGCACGAACTCGATAGAGAAAGGGTTCCTGGCCAAAGTTCGCTCGAATTGCGGCCCCGTAGCTTTTCATACCTACGACTGCGTATAGTTTCCCTGGAGGGGCACGAGCCGCGATCCCTTGGAAGATTTGCATTAGTTCCAAGACCCGAAGTATGTGGCTTGAAGGTTGGTTCCTACCGAGCGATGTTCCGTTCTTGGTGAATATGATATCTCTTTCAGGTGTGACGAGGCATCCCACAACATCTCCTGTCCCATATCTCTCACCATAAGGCTTTCCCTGATCTGATGCCTCATACAGTTTTGCATCGTCACCGTGGTATCCCCAGGATGAAACAAATCGCCCGGGCAATACATCAAGAGTTGTGTACCCACTGCAAACACCCAGACCGATTTCTCTGTTCAGTACGTTAGCCTAATTCCGGAATGACACCAGGTAGTTGATTACCCTGTATCTCCGTCGTCGATTACAGTGATCTCAAAGTAAAAGTTCAGGTATAGGAGAGGAATGGGGTGATTCGCTCGAACTGCCGCTGCCACCCTATAGCTGTCATCGTCCTTGCCTTCGGCATCGATTAGCCTGTGGACATGTCTCTTCCAAAATAGCGCACTTACCATGATATCTCACCGTCAGCGAGTCCTCATCCATCACAAGAGGGGCAGATGCAGACATATTTTCCCCATTCTAAGAATCAGGTCGCCGGGTGAAGTTCCGACGAGCCGGAGACAAGTCTATGCCTGATTCAAAAAACTTCTGGAGGATGGCATCTTGATGAAAATACGAAGTACATAGGATTGCCGACCAGCCATGCTCATCCACCATAGTGAGGTCTGCTCCAGCACGTGTCAGACATTCAACGGCTACACTGTCACCTGCCGTGCATGCAAGCTGCAGGGCATCTGCATAAGCAGGTTTTTTGAAGTCAATATTAGGATCAAGATCGACGAGCAATCGAATCAGCTCACTTCGCCCAAGGTGCACGCTCGCATGCAGTAGATACGGTGATTCTTGACAGTTAGGAATCGCGCCATGAGTGAGCAGAAGCTTTACCAGATCCATATTTCCATTCTGCGCTGCTCCGTACAGTGGTGTCCATCCGTAGTGATCAACGACATTGACAGCAGCACCTCGACGAAGCAGAATCTTCACAATTTCAGCATGGTTCCGCGCTGCGGCTACTATAATTGGTGTAGCCTCACTTGTGGTTTTCGCATTCACGTCGAGCCCTTGCGATAGGAGAATCATTTCTGCCATCTTGGCTTTGGGCTGTTGATTCTCATGCTATGTTGAAACGGCTCATCGCTGTCAGGCGCTTATCAAGAATCAAGCCATGCCCACTCAAGGATATATGAGCATGACATATACTCCAGAACAAGTAATGAAAAGGAATGGACATTGTGAGATTTGAACAGGATTAGGCTGGCTTGGACTGCGGCACTGCCACAATGACAGGCTGAGGATAACAGTCATATCCGGCCTGATTTTGATAGGCCCAATAATGCCAAGTAAGAATGACCTGCAATTACTCCGTAAGGCTCAAGGTACCTCCTTTTGCAGCAGACAGATGATTTGCTGTTCCTGAAGACTTGTCTGTCGATGTACTTCAAACACAACACTCTGGACAAGACAGCCTCAGGAGGATTGAGCTCAGTCTCACATGGATAATCATGGACTTGGCTATCTGACAATTCTCCAGCCAAGAACGGATAAATTGACGGTTTAATCTGCACCCCCGCAATCTCGGGGTAGCAGCAACCGATGCCGTCTTGGCTATATGAAATCCGGGGTATAAAGCTTCCAAAATAATGGAATCGGGAGTCAGTCAGAAGTACGAATTGTCAATAGCTTTCAACATGCGGGGAATTGCGTTGATCTCTGCTGCGTTCCTTGCCGCTGTGGCACAGGCCAGGTATATTGTCCCCGGAGGCCGATGGCGAGATACCAACGGGGACCTGGTCAATGCTCATGCTGGTGGCCTTCTTTATGACGACAAGTCGGGCAAGTTCTGGTGGTTTGGCGAGTACAAGATTGAAGGCCAGACGGAGGGTGGTGGTGTCTCGGTGTACAGTTCGGAGGATTTGGCGACGTGGGAGCCTCATGGGTTGGCGTTGAGTATGACAATCAGTCTGCTTGAAAGCAATGTCTCGCTGATACTTCTACAGAGCCGATTGAGGGACATCCGTACATCTCTCCCGAGCACATCATCCAGCGTCCCAAGGTGGTCTACAGTGAGGAGTCGAATCAGTATCATGTATGATTATCCTCTCTTTCTATGTTTCTTCTAACAGACGCCAGATGTGGTGGCATGCAGATAATTCCACCTACGGATGGCTCCTGCAAGGATTCGCAACTTCCGACAACATCACAGGGCCCTATACCTTTGTCGATGCCACGGCACCGCTGGGCAACTGGTCGCAAGACTTTGGGCTCTTCACCGACTACAAGGATGGTCGCTCGTATGCGCTCTACTCGAACGGTGACAGCAAGTATGGACGCGATGTCTACGTCACCGAGTACAACGAGAATATCACCGCGCTGGAGGAAGTCATCTACCGTTTCCCAAAGTTCGATCTCGAAGCGCCGACCATCATCCAAACGGAGAAGAGCTACTGGGCAATGATGAGTCACAAGACCGGCTACAGGCCGAACAGTAAGTGAGCCTTGACAGTATGTTGCAAATGACTGACCGAGAAGATGTCGTTGCGTTCCGCGCCGACTCGCTCAGCGGTCCCTGGTCCCAGCCATTTATGGTTGCTCCTCTGAATACACGCTCGTTCAACTCGCAGTCTGGTTTCTCCCTGCGGATCAAAGGGACGAAGAAGACGACCTATTTGTACATTGGTGATCAGGTAAGTTGTGTCCTGGCCGGGAAGAATGGAAGGTAACGAGTACAGTGGGATTCCAACTCCCTCTGGGAAAGCCGGTACATCTGGCTTCCGATGGATATCGACGAGAAGAAGAAGACGCTCGAGCTTGTCTGGAACGACGTCTATGATCTCAACGTGTATGTCACCAACCAATTGATGAAGAAATGCTGACGAACCTAGCAACACCGGAGAATGGAAAGCCATCAGGGGCAGGACCTACACTGCCAGCAAGGCCAAGACGAACGGTGATGCCTATAAACAGGAAGCTGTATGTCACTTTTGAACCTTCAGTCACAGCTTCAGTCGGAGTGCTAATCGAGTAGAACTTTGCAACCGACGGTGTCATCCTGACAGGAATCTACGGCAATGACAGCACAGTCACCTTTGAGGGTATTGAGGGGACCGGCAAGCCACAATGGGTGTCTTTCTACTACCAGAGTACGTCTTCTTCCCTTTATTAAGTCCTATACTAATGTTATAGATATCGATGACATGGGCTTCGGCGATCAACGTAAGTATACCCTATGAGTCAGACCAGCAGCAAAAGCTAACACGTACCAGCGGGAGGCTCCCCCGATCGCATCGGTGGCTCATGGCAGCTCCGTCGCATCAGCAGCGTCGTGGTCAACGGGAATACCTCGAACGTGGAGACGCTTTATCAGAGGGATACTCACAAAAGCATCATTCTTTCGACGCCGCTGCTGTTGACTATGGAGAAGGGCTCGCGTAATACCATTACTGTCGGGGGATTGTACAATGGGATTGATTACAAGGGGGCAGATCTGGATAAGATTGTGGTTTATCCACCTGAGGATTGATCACTGGTGGTGACGGTGTAGGCAATTATAGCTGAGTGATCAAACCAGTTAGATTATGTCCATGGGCGAGTTAGTGGCTCTTTAGAAGTATCGTAAGCTTAGCATGACTGATATTGATTACCATAGGATTGTCTGCAGAATCTTGATATGATATATTGTGAGTGTGACCGAGAGTAGGCAAGGGTGAGAGGAGATATATAGTTACACAGAAAAATCATAGACAAGTCCTTCCCTTCCCTCGCAATGGAAGAATCGTAATGTTGAATGGTATACCTTTCAAAGCCATTTCGGATATTTTACCTGTATTCCTTCAAAGTTCCTATCATTTTTCATAGTATGACCAAGTGATGAAGCTCTAAAGGACATTCTGGTCGAGTTATGGTGAGTCAAAATAATAGACAACTCGGGATATAAATCCTTTAACTTTATTGTTTTTCACAACAAAAGGACTGGTACCTCAGTGGTAGAGGGTGAGATTGCAATAACATCGCGAGATGTCTACTGTAATATCTTGAGGTCCCGTGTTCGATCCACGGTCAGTCCTATTTTTTTCCCTTTCTTTTTCCCGTCCTGTCAATGCCAAGACAGCAGGTTCTACAACACAGATCGGTCAAAGAAGCAATAGAAATGCTTTAGCAGTGGATATTGTCATGGTCATGTCTACTATCTTACTCTGAAATTACTATATTAATTTTATCTTAATGCCAGTTGAGTAGCTAAGACTGGAAGCCTTTGGCATCCTGTGCCCCATCAGGTTAAGGGTAGACAGGGATAGACAACAGAGTGCATTCTCTCCTGCAAGTGACCATCTACTAATATCTTAATAATGGCACGCAATTTAGGGAAAGGGACGTTGAGATCTGGAATCCAAGCTCTTTGAACGGGCTAATCTTCCACAGCCTCCCTGAATTCAAAGTTTAAAAGATCCGAGGCCCTATTTTAGGAACATCATCTTGGCGACGGTGCCACCAGGATGGTGCATAGACTATTGATTGGGCCATGACATGTACTGTATGCTTGTTGATTTGCATTGATAAATGGCTGCCTGATTACCTGGCTGTACATGTGCACATATCAACTCTTGTTAACTGAATTTTGAGAGTCATACTGCAGAGACTCAGATCATGCAAGGTGAAGTAGTCTTCTGCAGCAGAATATGATATGATATCATATCATATACATGAAATTAATATAAATCCCATTCCCTCGTCTATCACTTTCAACACAGTTGCCCAGCCCTTTGAAAATGAACGAACGGATATATGAATTAGATAGTAAAGGCGACATCACCTTCCTCGTCCACGATGTCCCCGGGTCCCTCCCACAAACCCTAGACTAACTGCAGGCATCCATGCTGGACGGTTCAACACCAGAAAGTATCGCACCCGACGCAGGCGAAAACGCAATCAACCACGAAGATCAACCAGTGCTCAAGATCCGCGCCTCCTCGAAACACCTCACCCTCTCCTGCCCCCAGTTCACCCGCACCCTGCACAGCGGCTTCCAGGAATCCCACGACCTCCAGAAAACCGGACACCTGGCCCTCGAAATCGAGAACTGGGACCCCACGGCCTTCCTGGTGCTCCTGCTGATCCTGCACGGGCGCACACGCCCCGTCCCACGGAGAATGACACTCGGGAAACTCGCCGACTTCGCCGTGCTGGTCGATTACTACGAGTGCCACGAGGCGGTCGAGGTCTTCACGGATATGTGGATCGGTGGGTTGAAGAGGACGGCCCCGACGCCGGCGCCGACGCCGGCTTCGCTGGCCGAGGCGGAGGAGTGGCTGTTCGTCGCGCGGGTGTTTCAGCAGCGGGAGACGTTCGCGCGGGCGTGCGGGTATCTGCAGAGGAATCTGACCAGCGGGTTTTGTTCGGAGTTGCCGGTTTCGAGGCGAGTGTGCGGTGGGCTTTGCTGTTTCTTTGTTCGTTGGCCGGGCGCTGATGCAGCTAGACGCGATTGATCGGTCGAGGGAGGATGCCATCCGCGCGATCCTCGACCGTCTGCATGACCGCGTCGCCGGGTTGCGCTCGGACAGGGTGCACTGCTCGTATGAATGTGACTGTGTGCTTCTGGGGGCGCTCATGAAGCACATGCGTCGACTGGGGATTCTGGCGAAACCGCCGCCGCCGTTCGAGGGGATCGGGCTCGAGCGGCTGGCGAAGGAGGCCCCGGGGGTGGTGGTGCCGAGGTGGTACGAGCGCGGCGGAGAGATCCAGCATTCGTGCCTGGCGACGCTGGATTTCAATTCCTCGCTGAGAGGGTCCGGGGATGCGCTGCCGGGTGTGGATATGGAGGAGTTGACCGAGTTGAGGAGGAGGTGATTGCATTAACGCCAAGTCTATTATCATGTCTATATGCAATGTACCCCCCAATCAATGACTGCAACTATAATTTCACCTGAAACCTCGGATGCGTGCGGATCTGCGCCCCAAACTTCCAGAACAGCATCGGACACACGCACATCGCCAGCGCGATAAACGCCAGCAGCGAGTTCCCCCACCCCAACCCCAGCGCCTCGTACATGGCCGGCCCCGCCAGCGGGAGCACGGCGCCGACCAACGACCGCAGCGCCGTGTTCGCGGCCGTCACCGAGGCCGCGTGCAGGAGATAGGAATCGACCAGATAGGTATTCGCCGACATGAAGACGGCCATGAGCCCGATGGCGAAGACGCCCGTCCCCAGGATCGGAACGATCCAGTGCACCCCTGCCTCTGCGGCCCAGCCGTACCAGAAGAGCCCCGCGGGCATGAACCAGCACCCGACCAGCATGGGCGGGAGGCGGGACTCCGGGGTGAAGCAGCCGCGGGCGGAGTGGACGACGGCGATGTGGTTGGCCACGGCGCCGCAGACGAGGAGGCCGATGACGCAGCCGATGCCGAAGCCCAGGTAGGCGAGGCCGGCCAGGCCCGGGGAGAAGTGGTATTTGGTTTCGAAGATGGAGGTGATGGTGGTGAACATGAGGTAGAGGTAGCCGTAGTGATGGCGGCGAAGAGGGAGATGAGGAAGACGATGGGGGGACGGGTGAGCAGCTTGATGGGGCGGGCGAGGGTGGACAGGAAGGTCTGTTTCGTGGGACGCGTGCTGTCGTGGATCGAGTAGAGCGACGGGTTGTTGGTCTCCTTGCGCAGGAGGGCGGCTTTGCGGCGGAGAAGGACGGGCGCGTAGGATTCGCGGTAGGCGAACATGCAGCCGACGGTCATGACCCCGGTCTACCGAGAAACAACCTTCATTAACATCTCAAGTCGCGAGAGCATCGTCCAGAGAGGGAACATACCGCGATAGCAATCACCCAAAACACCCAGCGCCATCCCTCCGCTTCGGCCAGAAATCCTCCCGCCACAGGCCCAATCACCGGTCCTAGGATAGGCCCCAAAGCCCAGATGGCCATGATCCCGGCCCGTTTCTCCTTGGGAATCATATCCGCCACCGTCCCCGAACCAATGGTCAACGGACACACACCGGCAACGCCTGCCAGCAGCCGGAAGACGATCAGCTGCGGCAGGCTCTGCGCCACAGCACAGGCGATGGTGAATATGAGGAAGAGGATGTTGCAGGCGTGGTATAGAGGCACGCGGCCGTACATTTCCGACAGAGGAGCGGTCAGAAAAGGGCCGACCATGTACCCGAGCACAAAGACGGAGACGACAAAGGAGGCGAGCATGGTGTCGGTGGAGTGGAATTCGCGCATCACGTCGGCGACTCCAGGAGCGAACATGGACGAGGCCAGCGGACTGCATCATCAGCTGTCGGATTGATTAGACTAGGGGAAAGGACTCACGTTATGAAGGTGTTGAATGCCATCAACACCAGTTGGCGCGTTTTCTTCTTGACCGGCCAGTTGAAGGGATTGTTGATATCATCGGGGCCATCCCAACTGACCAAATTCGGGTCTTTGGGGAGATCTTCTTGATCCTGCGAAGGGGAGACCTCTTCCTGCTCTGGAGATACTGTGGTGTTGGTTTCCCCGCCTTTTTCCAGGTCAGTGGACTCCCGCATGGTTCTTCGTTGCTTTGATGCTGTTATTATTCCGAACATATAGCACTAGAGAGTAGAGACATACCGACGAGGCAAGCCATATTATACTCCATTCTCCGTACTGCGATGACCTTGAAGCATCAAGCCCAGCCGGATATTCATAGCCGAGATGAAAGTCCTCTGGCCAAAAACCAATCATCTGTCGGTGCATGACTCCATAGTCGGGGGTCGGCGACTACAAAGCTCTTTGAAGCTTTTGCCAGGCGGGAATAGCCGAATTTATCCACGAGTTATGCCTCTTGTTCTGCTCTTTATGCCTCGGCTGTCGTATTTCGTATTTGCTCTGGTCCTGCAGAGTCTAGACAAGTTCTAGTTACTCCTTAATCACCCAGTCCAGGCAATTGTGCAGCGAATAACTTCATTTATACCCAAATTGTGCCTGACCCCGCTCCCTCGCCAACTCCACCAAGCGATCCAGAAATGCATTATGCTGCTATGCGTATTACGCGGCGGGTGGGCTCTATCTAACCCCTGGAATGCCTTCTACTCTGTACAGAGTACTAATAGGGATACTTTCAGGAAAGGAGGTCATTCCCCGATCCTCCAGCTAAATGTTGATGACCCCGCCTGCCGACGAGTGACGCCGATGGGCGAGATCGAAAGAGCCGTCCAGCTCAGGATTTCGTGATGACTCGCGGATATTGTGCCGCCGGTGATGTAGGGCAGGCTTAGCAGGGAACCGATGCCATTCTATATCATGCCATCAAGGGCAAATGAGTGCTGCGGGTTATTGCACCTAGGTCAAACGCTAGGCTCCTGCAGTCATTTCGCCTTTTGTGATGAATATGGAGTACGTGCAGGTTCGTACAATCTGTGCAACCGCTGTCGAGGACTCGTAGTGGCTGACCCGCGTCCAAGCCTGCCACTGTTGACAGGGAAACCCGGCCGGGGAGCCTTTACAGCGGATTTTGGCAGGCAGATGCTGTCACGCAGACGGGATTTCGGCGACAATAGGAGAGAGGAAATTGTCCTGTCGTCGGTGTCGACTAGAGGAAACTCGTTCGGAGTTCCTAAGTGACACCGTCTGACCAATGACTGGTGACACCGGCATGCAGGGACAAAACTAACCGGAGATCGAGTGACATATAGTATACAATGAGATGAGGGGCTGAATATCTTAACGGTCGATTGACTATCTCGGAGATGGCTGGTTGCATATCCTTGGCCACTCGCCTTATTGCCTAACCGCCAAGTCAGGCCATTTTATTCCGAGACCCATGATTTATCATTCGAACTACTCCAGTTCTATGGGCACTAACGAAATGAGTCCTCCCGGGAAACCGAGCTCTGGCGATGTTTACCTGGGCGCCCTCGCCATCGGACAGGCCATTTCGCCCATCGGTAACGGAGACAACAGCAACAGCATATCTCAGGAATGGACCATCCCAGCAGGAGTCTACACCCCCCAGCAACTCGTCCACCGCCTCTCTCCCCTCCTCGACATAGTGGTCCACCGTCTGGGCCCAGACCCCCCCAACACCTCCGCCCGCGCCCTCCTACTCGACACCATCGCAGCGACCCTGTCAACAGACCGCCGCGAATCCGCACTGCATTTCTCACCCGAGATCCTCAACACCTCTCGCCGCGAGATCATGCACCAGGCGCACCGGATCGGAGCCAAGCTCGTTAGCTGGGCAGACCAACACCGCGGCACACCCTCGGATACCGTCGAGATCCGCAGCCCCTGCGAGAGCCACCAGCTCATCCCACTCCGCGTCGAGCTGCTCTTCAGCCGGCGAAGCCAGCCGCAGCTGCTGCAGTTGTTCGAGGAGTACTCGCATCAAATGGTCCTGCTGCGGGACGCGCTCCTCCCGTTTGAGAATTTCGAGCAAACCCCCATCCCCATTCCTGGGAACGGGACCCGGGACCGGGATCGCGGACTCAGATACCTCGAGGCGCCGCGGAGGGGGTTCCTCGTCGGTCTCTTCACGAAAGAGGTCGCGCAGGCGTCTGTCGTGGCATTTGCGAGGGCGGTGCTTGCGCCGCGGTTGCCGGTTCCCAGGACTGGGGGGTATGGGTTCCAGTATAAGCAGGGGCTGGTGATACCGGCTGTGCTGGCCGGGTCCGAGACCGTGCATCTGCTACGATATGTAGCCGCTTTAGTCTGCGAAGCCGAGGAGGTGCTGTTTGACTATCAGTTTGAGGATTCCGATGCCGCGCCGCGGGTGGAGGTGGCGGGTACAGCGGAGTGGGCGGGAATTCCGCCGGCGACCGGCGAGGTGAAGAGGGCTGGGTTGGTGGTTGGTCCGGTGAGGGGCTTGATTGCCGAATTGCATTTGCGACTGGAGATGGGTGGTGGAGGACTGGTGGCTGTGGATGTCGGGCAGATCGCCCGTGGACATCGCCATGCGTATCGTGTCCGGCCATCGGGTGCAGGACGGGCACCCCAAGCTTTCGTCCATCAAGCATTTGATATCCTGCAACACCCGGGGATCGGGCTGGTGACGGCTTCAGGAGGAATTCATGTCATTCCTGTGGCTGATCGACTGGTGGCGTTGGCGCTGTTGGGCAGATTGTACCCGGGAAATGTTGCGTTGCTGCCGGGGGATGGGAATCTCGCAGATATAAACATGGACAAGAGGATCGAGCCCAGGTTTGTCTTATGGATAGCATCACAATGATCAGATCCATGATTGAAGAATACACAACTAAGTGCTTCACATGTATACTTTAGCAACACCCTTAGAAGCTCTCGGCTTGAACACTAGGGCGTTTTGTTCTTCGGTTGTATCATGAATCTACATGACAGAGGAGAAGACATCCACTAGCTGATCCACAAATGAGGTCGAGTCTCGAAGAACGACATCCCAAGCAAGTTCTTTCCTCATCCAGGCGCTTCTAGCTCAGAATCTAGCCAGCAGTAGTCTGCAGGACAGGACCGGGCTAAACACTAGTGAGGAGCCGGACGATCCTTTAGAAGTGAGGCTGGGGAGCGATTGGTGGGAATGTCTACCTTCGTGCATTGGTTCTGCAGTCATATTTTAGTGGTATTCTACGGGTTCGGGTCGCATTTTGCGGTATCCCTCGGAGTCCTTCGCTTGCATCAAGAAACCACCCTTGAGAGCCTCTGACGTCGTAGCCACGTTGAAGCACGTTGCCGCTTGATTTTCCAGTGCGTACAGCGGCTGCACAGTCGACTGCATGTATGCCACGAGGAACATGGCTTTCCTGGGACGTGAACAGGACCAACATCAGACCTTGCAGTCAACGTCAGGAATGCCCTCCCGGCCCCGTTCGCTCCAGTGATGGTGTATTTCAGCCAGGCAGGTCCGTCACATACAGTCGTTCTGGATGTGACAGTGACAGCCTGTGCCTTGGTCCTGAAGCAGTTTGATATCGCGCAGGATGATGTGGTTGGATATCCTGCAATCTCGAATGGCTGCAGAAGTGGCAGGACACCGTCAGACATTGACACTCACCCTCTTGCATAAAATTAGGACATACGGAGCTCATGATCCGTTAGAGGATATTTTATAGTTCCTCGAGGTTAAGTATGAGAATGTTCTTTCTGGCCTCTGCCGTTTCCCGAAACAAGCCTTTGTGGCCCCAGTGTACGGTCTTAGCATACACCCGGACTTTACACTGTGGTTCATCCTGATAGTGGATAACAATTAGCTTGCAAGTGTTTGTATTAATACTTTATCAAGATGAGACATCCCATCGACGTGATTTAATCAGTCCTCAAGATCTGCCTGAAGACCACTGATTACGGTGTCATCCTGATTCCTTTCAACTCAGCATGTCAACCGAAAAGCCCGACGTCTCACCCTCGTTTGGGAGGGCGGATACATACGATCAACTCCTGCAGCTGCATGGTGCTTTAGGCGACAGATTTAGCATTTTATGCGGCCTTCGTATTGATCTTGGAGGAGGCCAGTAAAGTACGAGCAAATATCTACCCGAAAGTATCTTATATTAGTCTCCCGTGAAGATTCTGGTACCGGATTCTTAGAGGAGGGTTCATTTTCCAGATCAGGAGATTGGTACAAGCTCACTGAGTCTATGTTTCTTCCTGTTTTCCAGGGTATCTCCATAGGGCATTATTGACAGCGATTCTATAGACTTATTGCCACGACACTTTAGATAGACTACTTTAGTGCTTTATTATACCCACTCGCTGGACCCGCTGGCTATTCTGTTCGAGACCAATCAATTACTTGAAACTCCAAGGCCAGATAATGCAACACACAAGCGACAATTGACCAAGTCTTGCTATGAATGCGTTGAATCATGCGCAGATAGTAAATAGCCTGATACGAATCATGACAGCAGCGGCCGTGGTCTATGACCTGGTACTTGGGCGCGGTTACATTGTATTTAGGAATGAGCCACAGCGGCCACACGGATGATTTGCCCGGATCTAGTCTCCATGTAGTAAGGGGATTGGGAAATTGACCGGCCTATCCAAACGTGCTGGTAGATGTAACTAAGCCTTAGTGTATCACTCGCTAGAATGTGTTCGAATGAGGGGAATCGCAGCCACCTGTCATCTTCCAGGATATCGACTCGTTCTCGGTGCATATTCTTTCGATTCTACTGCTACAATCAAATGGTTTCTTTGACTCTGATGCTCTCGAGTAGACTCTCGATGTATTAGATATACACCTCTGCTGAAACCAGAATGGACAATGGCAATGGCTGTCTTGACCCCGAAATCGGTGACCGAGTGGGTGACGGTAGCACTATCAACCAACGTCAGACTGTCAGCATTTGTTCTTTGTAAATATTAAAAGAAACCGCAGATCCGGATCCTTCAGGCTGCCTGGATATGACCTTGGCTTTCTGCGATCTTCTGCAACCCTTCGTCTTCATTTATTATACGAAGTCGATGACGACGAGAAGCAACATCCCTACTTTCGACATTCTCTCCGGTAGAGTCTCCAGGGCGTAGTCTGACAAGATCCCGTACCGAGCTGGATATCTCCGTGGCATTTAGTGCCGAGTCAGCCTTTAGCACGGTTTCTCTCTGCCTGTCTGACCAGAACTCATGACTGTTCTTCCATTCTTTTTCATCGCCATTCCATGACCATCAACATGTCCGTCCTGGCCGATCCTGTACATTTCTCTCTGCCCACGAAGATCAATGGACAGATCGACTCGCTGGAGGGCCCCCGCCATGCCCAGCCGCCGTCCAGTCTTCGTGCCAATGAACCGCAGAATCCCGACGGGGACTTTCGCTGCGGGATCTGCAACAAATCATACAGTCGGAGTATGTCTGATGTCTTGTGCACTCTCTGCCTGGTTCTCCAAGAGAGACAGTTTAGAAAAAGATCAGGAATGAGCAGATCTAACATCTGTAGGAGACCTCCGGGACCGACACCGGCGGCGCTGCATCAAAACTGCTGGTCAGGAGCGGACGTCCAAGCGCAAATCCTGCGAAACATGTGCTCAAAAGAAAGTCCGCTGCTCCATGACTCGTCCGGCGTGCAGCCGCTGTGTCCAGATGCGGACGCCGTGCCACTATCCCCCAACCTCCGTGCCCGCCAATCCTGCCGCGGCGGCGGCTGCTGCTGCTGCTGCTGCTGCGGTGGCCGCGACGAATAGTGATGATCATAGTAACAACGGTCGCAGTAGTTCTGTAGTGCAAAACATCGGCCCGATAAAGGCGTCCTCGTCGCCGCCTTCATCTGTCTCTCCATCTTCGCCCTTATCCCCTCGGGATGGGCTCAACTTGGGTCCAAATGTCTCGTCGGCTGCCACGTCGCGGGGAAACATTCCGGCCACTCTTCCTGCCCCTTCAGAAGTATCTGTTCCTCATCTTCAGCAGTACGAGTCAACCCAGTCTCATTCTCAGCAGACGTCGACCAGCATCACCTCCTTCGACCCGCTCTTAGCCCCGTGGAGCCCTATCCCCACCACCAACACCATAGACTTGATGTTGCGCCCGCTTGCCGACAGCCCCCTGTTCACTCCCCACGATTTGGTGGCGGTTGGCTCGCTACCCTGGATCGATGATTTGTCTCCTCTGTCTGAACAGTTGTCCCCCGAGGCTGCCCTTCCAGAAGTCCTCAGTGACCCAACGGGGCTTCCCCCGCTCCTGATGCCCCTGCACGAGATATCAAAAAACCCCCTGGGTGCCGTGGGTGCGTCTCCGCCCCTGGCAATGATGGGAGAGCCGTTTCGGATCACCGACGGGATGGCCATGTCGCTTTCCTCGTCCTCCTCCGACAGTCGGTGGCGCGACAGACTACCACAGAGCGGTGACGAGGAGTCGTCGCAAATCAGCATCCGCGGCGATGCTTCAGCGCAGCTCACCTTCGCTCGCGATTTTCTCGCCCAGTCCGGAAACCTGAGTACCCACGAGGCCAACGAACTCTACCAGGAGATGCTCAAGCCGATTCGCGAGTTTCCCGCTCTGCTTCTCGAGCGCGAGTTCTGGTCGCCCTTTGTGCACCACCGACTATACCGCTGTTCACTCGGCGGCATGGCGGAGCCGCTAGGGGTCGCGCTGGCGTGTGTCTCGGCGCGCGCCAGCTCGGTCGAGTCGGACTACGGCTTCGTCGACAGCATGATCAACCAAGAGCGCGAGAAGCTCGTCCGCAACTTCCACCTGTACACCGACGCGCCCGAGACGTGCCTGGCTGCCCTGCATGCCGTCTGCGTCTACCAGATTCTGGGACTGTTCGGCGACACCTTCCAGCCGGCCGCCCATCGCAAACCGCACGACCCGAAAGAGTCGATCGAGCGACGGCGCGAGGAGTTCGAGCGGGCGGCCGAGTTGCACAGTTCGTTTCTCCTCAAGGTATGCCTTCGCCTTCCACCTACCCACGTACATCCAAAGGCTGATATAACTAGATGACCCGCCGCCTGTACACGCTCCACAAGGACGCGCTCCTCGTGCAACACGAGCGCGAGAATAACTGGACCCGGTGGAAATTCACCGAGTCCCTCCGCCGGAACGTCTTCTTCGTGCACATCATCAACATCCTCGGGGCTCGCGCCCGCAAGCTCAACGAGGACTACTTCGAGCCCCTGGGTGACGAGATGGTGCTGCACCTGCCCCTACCCGCGCCTGAGTACATGTGGCGCGCCTGCAGCGAGGAGGAGTGGCTGCTGGCGCGAGAGCACGCGCTGCAGGCTGCGTCCACGCCGTCGAGCGGCCTGCCTCTCTCGCAGACGCTGCACCAGCTGCTGCAGATGGATAAGGCCGGGGGCTTGGATGTGTCGTCGTTGCTGCCGGTGACGAGGTTGGTTCTGGCGTGTTCGAAGATCGCCCCGGGGGGGATGCAGGAGTGACCGCGTCAGCTGCACTTCATGTATTTCACCTCTCTGCCGGTTATGATGTTACGATTGGTATACGGATACGGTAGGCTTTTTCTGGTGTTGATGCTTTGGTGCGGACTTCCCATTCGAGTTTATACTTGGAGTCTGGATCACTGTTCTTACGTCCGTAGTTATATCACTGTCATGCATTCTGATCTGGTAGTTAGTATCATACGAAGAGGGCATCATACTCCCCCAGGGAACCCATCTACTTATATCTACGCTTTATTCAAGGGGAAGATGTGGATAGCCATGACTGCATTATCACTAAGATATCATATCAAATACATAATTGCATGAATCATTCGCGAATCCGATGAGTCTAATTCCTAGCCCAAGTCAGATCAAATTCCATGGCTGGATGGCCAAGGAGTACCCACATACTACTTCAAGGTAGCAACTGTTCGAAAAGGCTCTCTACATGTTCTGCTTGTGAGCCTCGGCCTTGGCGTCGTGCTTGGACTCGTGAGCCTTGTCACTGAGGGCGTCTTTTGCGGCGGAAGCACTATTATTCACTGTTAGAGTGTGCATAAAATCCTCCAGAGGAGAAAAGGCTTACCGAGTTCCAATGGGGGCATCGGAGTCCTTGGCAACCTCCTTGTTGGTTTCCTTGGAGGTGCCGCGCACGGCTTGCTGGACACTCTCGCTGACGTAGTTGGCGCCTTGCTTGATGGACTCCATTGTGTATGATTGTGGATTGAATGAGTTGAGATGAGACGAGATCAGAGATTGAAGAGGTATAGAATTGAGTGTTTCTGCTAGATGAATTGGGAGGATAAGATGAAAGAAAGCAAGAGGTCTTATAGTAGTTGGGACACTGGGATGATGTCATGGATTCTGTGGGAATGTAACAGGAAGTCACTGTTATGACGTCATAGACTAGAGCCAAGTTCTTCTGAGCAGGAATGACACCTTGAAATCAAGATTAGCAGTCCTGTAGATCAGATTAGCGCATGCTAGTATTAGAGTTGGGGAAACCAGGAAAGAGAATAAGGTGGCGGCATAAAGCAGTGTAGTAGTACCTGTACACCTCCACTGCCAATGATGATATCATTTCCTACTTACCTATTTCTTTCTTGCTTAGATCTTCCTTTATCTATCCAGCTAGGTGATTATCCAGATATAGGGATCTAAGATGGCTTTATGTTCATTAGTAGTATAGATCACCTAGATAGCTACTAGATCAAGGAGAATCAGACCTGTTGCTTTTTATCTCTGCATATGAGACTATTAACAGCAGCGCATTAGACTATATGCATTAGCATTCATCTGTCATCACATCGTCTAGACTACACCCACTGCCAACCAAGCTTGCGATCGAGTTGTTCTCAACCTCTGGGTAAACGTCGATTGTCCGTTGATTCTCCATTGCGAGCTCTCCTCAGTCGAATGATTATTGGATCAATAAAATGAAAAGACACGCACGCTGCGAAATAATCCGAACGACTAGTGATTACTCCAGTTCTGCCCATCTCTGCATCAAAGACATCAATTCCGTACTATCCCCTGTTTGCACGACATTAATCCCCAACGCCTGCTGGAACTGCTGATGAGCCTGAGCCCCAGCCGCACTATGCCAGTTAAACCCTATCGTCCGGTTCCCAAACATCGGCCCCCCATTGCTCGTAGCGACAGACGCAAACCCCTCTGTCCCCTGGTTGATGGTCGACGCCAGCATGAGCGTCTGCCGCTGCTGCATGCGCATAAGCTGCCCGAACTCAACCCTCTGCTTCTCCATCTGCATGAACAGATAAGTATGCATGCGCTCCTTTGCCAGCACAAGGAACGAGTCCAGGTCGTTGGTCTGGCATGCTCGGCGCCACAGGTCCCGCATGCGCGGCGAGTACATCTGGCATCGGGCCTCGTCTGGGACGACGTCGGAGTCGAGTCGATTGGCTAGCCGCGTCCCCTCGACGGCGTCCTTGTAGCACAGCTCGCAGATCGTAAAGGTATTGTCGAAGGCGTTCTTCCCGTACCACCTGCGGTTTTTGAAGGGTTCGTTCCGCGGACACTCCGCGAGGGCCGCATACGCGGACACATAGTCGGAGAAGATGGAGAAGTTGCCTACGGTCACGGCCGCATCGTACAGGGATGTATACTTGGAGGATCGCGGCGCGGCGGGATTGAAGTCGCAGACCCAGTCTTTGTTGCGGGGGTAGTGGACTTGCTTGAACTCCTGGAAGAAACCGGGTGCGACCATGGAGGCGACGACGCAGCCGTGGCAGATGGCGAATGCGTCGCCGTGATAGTCCCGTGGCGCGTACCAGATGGCATCGCGCATGTCCTCTGTGCTGCAGGGAGGAGACCCGAGGATGGCTCTGGCCACCGCCTCGAAGCCGTCGTATTCGTCGGTGTGGTTATCGCTGCCGATGCGCGTGCAGACAGTCCAGGCCACTTTCATATGCCATGTGTCCATTGCACATTGGCGAACCCGCCGTTCCTGATCCGGACAGAGAGAAAGGAGGTCCCACGACCTGGCGTGGTCCAGCACGAAATAGTCCAGGTAGCATGCAGTGCAGACGATCAGGCCGGGCACCGCTTTAGAGCCATACCAGTGTGTCGAGCCGGCTTGGAGGTTTCTCATCTCGACGCAGCCAGGATACTCCATCCGTCTTTTGAACAGGATGTGCAAGTCCTCCCAGTGATCCGGGGAAGCGATGGCGCGTCGCAGCCCCTCCTTGACCACCGGCACCGCCGCATCGCACGTCCACATCCCTTCATCGGATTTGATCGTTGGACCGGTGGTAAAGTATCGTTTCAAGTGGTTCCATGTTATTAGGTCAGAGTAGCATGCCTCGCACATGACGAAGCCCCGGATCTCCCAGACACCGTCCAGACTGTACCAGCGCGAACCGTCAGGACCGGTATGTCCTGCCGGTCCTTTGCAGTCCAGGATACTGGCCCGTTCGCCAATGAAACATTTGATCGCATCCCAGTCATCGGCTGCCAGATGCGCCATTACTCTTGGGGTATTCCATCGACAGAGGCGGGAGATATCGCCCTCTACCCACACGGCCTTGAAAAGGTCTGCGTGCGGGGTGGTTCTGATATGATGATCATGGCAATAAGAGCAGATCGGAAATTGAGGGCTGTTGGAGGGATAGTACCAGACTGTGCGGTAGGAAATACCGTCCGGGTTGACGCATCGAGAGAGGGTCTGGATGGATTAGTATTGTAGAAAAGTAGAGGTGCCCTACTTACCGGGATTTCATCGTTTCCCTCGTGGCCTCGGATGCAGTACTACTACTCATTTGATTAAGCATCTTGAGACGTCTGAAAGAAAGCACCAGTGTGATTCTTTCTTACTCTATTTATCCACAATGCGGCTCATATTTATCATTCTTTCTCTGTCTGGTCTACCTTATCCGCCAGTAGCTTAGTGTGTCAAGCCTCAGCCACTCGCTTCAAATTGACTGATTGGGACAAGCCCACAGCCAGCTGGTAAATTCTCTATCCAGGGCTCAATAAGCGCTTCACAAGCTTTCTAAAGATATCTATAGTAGCAAAAGGCATACATTTTCGGGCGATTTAGGAGG